GATGCAACAACTTATCCTTCACCTTAGAAAGGGTATCTCGAAATGCCTCACACTAGATGCCTAGAAATTGTCCTATGTAGAAGGTGGTCCTGAATTTTAGTGAGATTTCCCACCTTCTGACATGCAAGTATTCTACCAATGAGTCTAGAGTAGTCACTACTTCTTGCTCACAGGTCCAATTGATATAATGTCACCAATATATTGGACCAGAGTGATCTCTTGTGGAACAGAAAGCTGATCAAAATCCTGTAAACTAAACTATGATGTAGGTTTGGAGAGTTTATATACCCATGAGGCAGGACAGTGAAGGTGTATTGCTGGTCTTGCTGGCTGAAAACAAACTTGTTTCAGGTAGTCTTTACTAAGGGGTATGAAGAAAAAAGCATTTGCCAGATCAATAGCTGCATACCAGGTACGAGGATATGTGTTAATTTGCTCAAGCAATAGAACTGCCTCTGGTTGGAGTCATCACCCAGTTAAGCTTATGATAATCTATTCTTTCTCCAAAATCCATATCTTCTGCAAAGGCCAGACAGGTGAGTTGAATGGGGATGGAGTGGAAATTATTTCTGCATACTTTAAGACCTTGATGGTGGCACTAATTTCTGGCATCCTTCCAGGAATGCAATATTGATTTTGGTTTATCATTTTCCTAGGTAGAGGCAGTTCTAGTGGCTTCCACTTGAACTTTCCCACTATTATAGCCCTCACTCAAGTCAGAGAACCAATATGGTTGGTTCTCTGTGTCCGTTGCTGAGTGTATCTATTCCAATTATGCATTCCCAAACTGCATAGTGAAATAACCACAGGATGGTTTCAGGGATCCCTGGAGCCACTGTGAGACAGACTGGAGCTAAAACTCCATTGATCACCTGATCTCCATAAGCTCCTACTCCAATTGGAAGACCACAGTGACATTTTAGTTACCTGGAACTAGTGTCAGCTTAGAGTCTGTGTCCAGTAATCTTCAAAAGGTTTGATTATCTTTTTCCCAATGTAGTTACTAGTAAAAGGCCATAGATCTTTCTGGGAAAGGCTGGGAGAAAGATTTAACAGTATATATCTTTGACAGTGCAGTGGGATCCTTCCTCAAGGGGACTTGGTCTCCCTTTCATTTGAGGGGTTCTGGGTCTGTAAACCAGTTCAAATCTGGGAATTGATAGAGGGGCCATAATTCTGGTTTTATTATTCAAATTAGATTTGTTCACTTAACCTAAAACTCTTCTGCTTATATAGATCAAGTTAGAATTTAATAGATTCCCCACGTATTTCACCTCGAGGAATTCCATGATCACCTAGCCAAATCATATCTCTGTGAGTCAGACTTGTTTTTTTGTGTTTTGTTTGTTTGTTTTTGGAGACAGAGTCTTGCTCTGTCACCTAGGCTGGAGTGCAGTGGCACCATCTCAGCTCACTGAAGCCTCTGCCTCCTGGGTTCAAGCAATTCTCCTGCCTCAGCCTCCCAAGTAGCTGGGACTACAGATGCGCACCACCACACCAGGTTAATTTTTGTATTTTTGGTAGAGACAGGCTTTCACCATGTTGGCCAGGCTGATTTCAAACTCTTGGCCTCAAGTGATCTGCCTACCTCGGCTTCCCAAAGTGCTGGGATTACAGGTGTGAGCCACTGCGTCTGGCCTAGTCAAACAATTCTGATTGCTGCTTTAACTCTGCTGTCCATTACAGTAACCATTTGAACTACTTCCTCTATAGTATACCAAGGCAGGACTGGCATTTCAACTTCATTTAGGGCAAATTTTGGTTCATGTTTCAACCAAGCAACCAACCAGCTAGAGCAGGATCTTTTTGATCCCCCATGCTGCAATATTAAATCCAAAATCTCTGCTTTGTGGGCCCCTATCAATAAACACTGCCTGATCCAACTTTATGTTCCTTCCACCATTATTACGTACCCTAATATCCATTTCCACACATATTCTCAAATGGGAAGAGTCATGTAGTTCTTTTTGAGTGTAGCACACCTCCTATATCTCACTTAGTACCTCACCTTTGGGGCCTGCTGGGACTTGGATCTAGTTACAGGTTTAGAAGGAAAGAGGGGTGGTCAGGGTGGGTCCTGAGGACAATCAGCAGAGTCCTGTAAGGCAATTATCTCAGAGGAAGACATTAGTTTCCTCAGGGAAAGCAGTTAATGTCAATTAGATATAATCCGATTGGGTAAATCAGTTATCTCTGCTTCTACTGGCAATGAAGACTCATCAGAATTTAGAGATTCAATATTACCAGCTTCATCAGGATCTTCCCATGAGTCATCATTCCAATTTTCATGATCCCATTCATTCCCAGTCAATATCCTCACTTTAGTAGCAAAGGTACCCTGCAAGGCTGGGAATTCAATTTGCATTGTAACTCAGGCACTTGCAAAATGAGATTCTGGGTTTGGTTTCAGAAATCTCAACTCTGCAGCTACAGAAGGTAAAGTTTCTTTCAAATCAGACAGACAAATGTTCAGGTCTAGTACTTAAGTTGAGAATTCAAATCCCTGAAGTCATCCTTTTCTTTCTCCAATTTATCCAGTGCAATTAAGAGCAAGCAGCCAATCTTATTAGTTTGACAAAAAGGTTTGAAGGTATACATATATCTCTGTCAAAACATTAACTGAACATGCACTAAAGGAACAAAGACTTTGGCGATCATACGTGATAAAGAATAGTCTCTGCAAAATTAGTTTGGGCTGGGCACTGTGGCTCACACTTGTAATGCCAGCTCTTTAGGGGGCTGAGGTGGGTGGATCAGTTGAGGCCAGGAGTTCGACACCAGCCTGGCCAACATAGTGAAACCCCATTTCTACTAAAAACACAACAAATAGCCAGACATGGTGGTGCACACCTGTAATCTCAGCTACTCTGGGGACTAAGGCATAAGAATTGCCTGAATCCAGAGGCAGAGGATGCGGTTAGCCGAGATCACACCACTGCATTCTGGCCTGGGTGACACAGCGAGACACTGTCTTAAAAAAAAAGTTTGGAAATGTCTCAAATGGAATACTACAATCTTCAACATAGCAATGAAACAAAAAACAGTAAGCTCTGGAGTAGAAGAATCTGATTACTGGAGTTACCTCATTATAATAGTCAATTTCAACAACAAAAATCACAAGGCATACAAAATAAAAGAAAGAAAACATGGCCCATTCAAAGTAACAAGAAAAAATGACAGACACCATCCCTGAGAAAGCCAAGACATTGGATTTACTCAACAAAGACATTAAAACAACTGTATTAAATATACTCAAAGAGCTAAAGGAAAAGATGAACAAATAAATAAAGGAAATCAGAAAAACAATTATTAACAAAATCAGAATATCAACAGAGACAAAAATTACAAAGAAGAATAAAAATTCTGGAGTTGAAAGAATAACTGAAATGAAAAATTCACTAGAGGAGCACAATAGATTTGAGCAGGAAGAAGAGAGAATCAGAAAACTGGAAGATAGGACACTGAAATTATCAAGTCTGGGAATAGAAAGAAAAAATAAAGAAAAGTAAATAACGCCTAACAGACCTATGGAAGACCATGAAGTTGACCAATAGATGCACTATGGAAGTCCCTATAAGGAGAGAGAAAGGGGAAGAAAAATTATCTAAATAATGGCCAAAAACAACCCAAATTTAACAAAAGACGTGAATCTACAAATCCAGTAAGCCCAGTAAGTCCCAAGTAGGATAAAGATAAACTCAGAGACCCACACCAAGACACATTATAATGAAATTGTCAAGTCACTAAGATGGCTATTATAAAAAATATGAGCTGGGTGTAGTGACTCACACCTGTAACCCCAAGACTTTGAGAGGCTGAGATGGGAGGATTGTTTGCGCCCAGGAGATTGAGGCTGCAGTGAGCTATGATGGTACCACTGCACTCCAGCCTGGGCAACAGAGCAAGACCTTGTCTCAAAAAACGAAACAAAACAAAAACAAAAATATAAAAAATAAGTGTTGGTGAAGATGTGGAGAAAATGGTACCCTATTGTATTGCTGGTGGAAATGTAAAATAATGTAGCTGCTATGGAAAAGTTTGGTAGTTCCTCAAAAAGTTAAAGATAGAATTACCATAATTTCCAGCAACTGTATACATACCCACACATACCCACGTATACCCCTGTATACATACCCAAACGAATTGAAAGCAGGAACTCAATAGATACTTTTAAGCCAGTGTTCACAACAGCATTAGTCAAAATTCCTTAAAAGGAGGAAAGAACCCAAATGTCCATCAAAAGATAAGTGGATTAACAAAGTGTGGTAGCCTAGGTGTGGAGACTCATGCATGTAATTCCAGCACTTTGGGAGGCTGAGTCAAGTAGATCCTCTGAGACCAGCCTGGCCAACATGGTGAAACCCTGTCTCTACCAAAAATACAAAAATTATCCTGGCATGGTGGCATGCACCTATAGTCCCAGCTACTTGGGAAGCTGAGACACAAGAATCACTTATCACTTGAACCCAGGATGTAGACGCTGTAGTGAGCCAAGCCAAGATCGTACAGCCTGGATGACAGAGCAAGACTGTCTCAAAAAAAAAAAAAAAAAAGTGTGGCATACATAAAGAATGAAATTTGGATACATGCTATAAACTGTGAAAACATTATGCTAAATGAAGTAAGCCAGACATGTATTCCATTTATACGAGGTACCTAGAATAGGCATATTCATAGAGACAGAAAGTAGAATAGAAGTCACCAGGGACTTAGGGGCAGGGAAATGAGGAGTTAAGGTTCTTATTGATACAGAGTTTCTGTTTGGGATGATGAAGTTCGGGAAACAAATAGTGGTGATGGTAGTATAACACTGTGAATGTGCTTAAGTCACTGAATTGTATGTTTAAACATAGGTAAAATGGTAAATTGTATGTTATGTATATTTCACTACAAGAAAAAGAAAAAGGCATAATTTCCTCCCTGAATTCTCAAAGAACAGAAAATATTTTTTCAAATTTGACTTTTTTATGAAAGTAAACAACAAAATTAATCTCATACAATCACTTAGAAATGTTTAGCTTTATTTCAGAATAACCTATAGGACCATATCCAAATAAAGGTCCTATCAGTACTTCTCAAGAGTTATCACTCAGTTTTGCTTCTAGAGACCCACCAGTCAAAGCAGTAAAACTAAATCTCCTTAACAAAACTGAAGTCATCAGAAAATCAGTGCTAAAGGGGTGATGAAACTTTACTTAATCACTCCCCGTATGCAAGAAGACTTATTGCATTCCTAAAACTTCTACTTTGATTCCCAATATATCTGTTTTTTTTTTTTCCTTTTTTTCAAAAGCATCATTTTGGTGAAAATTCCAATATATGAGTTTAAAAAAAAAAATCATTATCATCGTAACAGTACTTTAAATCAATTATTCCTTTTGCCTTCAACAGGGTCCAGCAAAGCCTTACCACCTCAAGCAAAATCCACTACACCTATCTATGCTCAAGAAGTAGTTTGGCTACTGAAGACTTGCTGGTCTCTTCCAAGCCTTTCCTCAGGATCCACACATCAGACATTCATCTCTATTCTCCAAAGAGCACACCATGGCTGCTGTGTTCCTCTCCTTCTCTTCTTCCTCCTTTGATATCTTTTCCTTATCTTTTAGCTTCTCCTTATTTAGAGTGAACTGGATTGGATTAGCCGCTGGTCTTGTCCTTAAATAATACATCCCAGTCTTCAAACCCTATAAGGAAAGTAAAGACAATGATTAGGAGAAACTCTGTGAGAATACTAGACATTCCTGGCTAGGCGCTGTGGCTCACACCTGTAATCCCAGCACTTTGGGAGGCCAATGTGGGTGGATCACTTGAGGTCAGGAGTTTGAGACCAGCCTGGCCAATATGGTGAAACCCCGTCTCTACTAAAAATAAAAAATTACCCAAGAGGGGTATTGCATGCCTGTAAATTTCAGCTACTTAGGAGGCTGAGGTTGCAGTGAGCCAAGATTGTACCACTGTACTCCAGCCTGGGCAACAGAGCAAGACTCTGTCTAAAAAAATATAAAATAAAATAAAATAATAATATTAAAATAAAATAAAATAAAATGCATTCCTGGCCAGGCGCAGTGACTAACACCTGTAATCCTAGCACTTTGGGAGGCCGAGGCAGGTGAATTGCTTGAGACCAGCCTGGCCAATATGGCAAAACCCCATCTCTATTAAAAATACAAAAATTAGCTGGGCGTGGTAGCACACGCCTGTGATCCCAGCTACTCAGGAGGCTAAGACATGAGAATCGCTTGAACCCAGGACAGAGGTTGCAGTGAGCCGAGATCACGCCACTGTACGCCAGCCTGGGCAACAGAGTGAGTCTCTGTCTCAACATACATACATATATACATACATACTTACAGACAGACAGACATAAAATAAAACACATTCCCATGAACCAGATCAAACCTTTTTTAAACTTGGAATTCTATCTCCTCTAGGAGTACTCTCAAAAATGCTTTGCGAGTCAGATAGAAATACCCTGTTCTTTTCACCCCTAAAACAGGCTTATCTCTTTGGAAAGGTCAAACATTTTTATTCTTTTGTCTTTGTTTTTATGTATATGACTTCCAAGTTTGCCCAAGACAACATGTCTGCCTTAGGTTATAACTATTTAGAGAGCTAGACTGTGTCTCTGTATAACAACAGACTAAAAGACTTCAAAGATAAAGATCATCATCTTCTATTCAGTATCCTCAGTGCTGGCACCTACTGGATGTTCAATAAATGTTAAATTAAAAAACAAATTTATAATTCTACTTAAATACCCAATACATTATCAGGGAATAAGAACATAATCTAAAATTACCGACTTTACAGCTGGCAATGACTAGGCTAAGTAATCTGGCTTTCACTTTATAAAGTGAGAAAACAATGGATGTTTTCGAATAGTGGGTTGAGGTGTGCAAAGTTTTATTTGAGGAATGGTGGTAATGCACACAAAATGGCTGGGAGCAGAGATATTAGAAGGAATAAGGTCAGTTTAGAATAACAGCAGCAGAAAAGGAAGGAAGATATTTAAGAAATAATACAAAGGAACAGTCAACATAACTTGGTAATTATACAGAGAGTAAAAGAAGGAAAGGATCACAGGTAACTCCAAGTTTTCAAACCTAAGAAGGAAATAAACCTAACAGAAACAAGAAAATCCAAGGCAAGACCTTGATCTGGTACAAAAACCATCGGCTGGTTTTAATATTCTGGATTTGAACTTAAAGAACTTCTAGGTGATAATATTTAATGGGTGGCTAGAACATAAAATCATTCCAATGCCAAAATATCTCAAGCTGGCAATTAAGTCCTCCTTGATATTCTCTACCAACCTGCTTCCAGCCATAGAAGTGCATACTAGTGAGTTTGCCATAGTTAGGCTCAGCAATGTGGATATTCAAAGATTGGCTTTGATCAATGAAAGCACCTCTCTCAGCTGCCATCTTGAGAACGGTTTTCTGAGAGATTTCCCACACAGTTTTATAAAGTTGCTTCAGGTCATCAGGAATTTCTGGTATGCTCTAAAGAAGGAAAACCAAATGTTTACTTTACTCCAGTTAAAGAAAGCAGTGTGTAATTAATAGTGACACAAGGTTTGACCCTGGTTTTACTTCCTTCCAGATCTGACCTTACTATTCAGTATCATATGATATGATCCTTATCAAGTTTACCAAGACTATTTAGGAAGTTGAACAAAACCCCATCTAACCAACCAAATATCAATCTGGTGACAGTAATTTCAGCATCCCTTTTTTGTTGGTTTTTGATTTCCAATATATCTGTTTTTGAGAATTAAAAATTGGTTTATGACCCAAACATTCATTCTTCTACAGGCACTTAAAGAAAGGAAAAGTCAGAGCTAAGCAGCAATAAATGACCCTTGAGTTTTGCAGAAAACACAAAAACCAAGGGCTGTAATTCACAGGGATCAAGGTAAGCAATGAGATAAAACCCTTTAAATAAGCTAGGATTCCAAACTCCCTTTGGAATCCAAATAAATCAGGTTTTCTTAGGTCTAGGGTTAACTTTCATTAAAACACACAGACTAGCTAATGGTAATTTCTGTCATCAAATATGGAACTGTTATAGGACTCATCATCTGTGTTGCTAAGCAGACCAACATTTAGCCAGACACCTCTATCTGCAAATAAATGCCTCTTGACTCTTAGTTGCAAATATTTACACTATTTGTGACTCTGTCTTTTGGACTATCAGTCCTCAACCATGATTTTTAAGTAAGCTTGACTCTCTTAATTTCAGTCTGTCGATGATCCCCCAAATTTTGATGTACTTTGGAATCACCAAAAGAATCTTTAAAAAGTATTAATGTCTGAGACCAGGCACGGTGGCTCATGCATGTAATCCTAGCACTCTGGGAGGCCAAGGCAGGCGGATCACCTGAGGTCAGGAGCTCGGCCAACATGGTGAAACCCCATCTCTACTAAAAATATAAAAATCAGCCGGGCATGGTGGCAGGCACCTGTAATCCCAGCTACTTGGGAGGCTAAGGCAGGAGAATCGTTTGAACCCAGGAAGCAGAGGTTGTAGTGAGCCATGATCCCACCACTGCACTCCAGCCTGGGCAACAGAGACTTTGTCTCAAAAAAAAAAAAAAAATTGATGTCTGGCTCCTGCTCCTAAACATTTAATTGGTAAAGAATGCAACCTAAGCTTCAGAATTTTAAAAGTTCCCCAATTGATTCTAAGATGCAGAAAAATTGAGTACTACTATTTTATATTATTGCATAAAAACAAGATGGTAAGGGCTATGTAAAGATGTGTACAATCCTAGCACAACAATGAAGAGGTGAACACAGCTACATAAGCAAAGCCTAGATGAACACAATGAAGTTATTTTCTCCATTGTCTGGCATGAGTGAGGAGGTACCACAATGTCCAACTCAGCCCCTGCAGAGCACATTTCATTTTCATTCTATACCTGAATAGAGCCATTGCATGCAATAATCTGGTTTTTCATCTCTTCATGCCATAGGCCCCGCTCAGTAAGATCTTTCAATAAGTGAGGATTTACAATCTGAATGGAAAAGCAGAAAATATATGAAGAAATAAACAACAGTGACAGCTTAGAAAAGACTACAGCTTTGAAGCTTAAACTAAAATCACTTAAGAATTATTTAATGCTAGATTGCTTGGTAAATTCTATTTTTATAAAAATGAGACATCAAGGCCACCACACAAAAGCTATATTCCTTTAAGATCTTGACATCTGTTATTCAAGAAACAATATAATTAGCCAGGCATGGTGGCGCAGCACACCTGTAATCCCAGCTACTTGGGAGGCTGAGGCATGGGAATTGCTTGAACCCGGGAGGCAGAGGTTGCAGTGAGCCAAGATCACACCACTGCACTCCAGCCTGGGTGACAAAGTGAGACACTTTCTCAAAAACAACATCAACAACAACAAAAACATTGTGGTGTGGTAATCATTATATAATATATACACATATCAAATCATTATACTGTATACCTTGGATTTATACACAATTTTTATTGTCAATTATACCTTAATAAAGCCGAAAAAATATTTTAGTTAAAAAAGAAACATACAGCATTTGCAAAAGTGAAAAGAATAGCGTCTAAGATGGGTAAATCTATAAATACTTAGGTTAAAAAAATTAGAAACGTATCCTTCTCAAACTTTACAGAACTTTATTTCAAGATATCTGGAAATTCACAAATAGTCTTTTAAATTGAGGTTCTCAAACCCTAGCTACACATAAGAATTACCTGGGAACCTTAAAAACAAAGAAACAAAACCACTGGTCTCACCCACCATAAATTCTAATTGGTAACCAAGTCTGAAAACCACTGCCTTAAATGATACTTCTTTACATATTTTGAGTATCCTAACTTAAGCATCTGGGGGAAGTTATACAATACATCACTATGATTACATAATGATTAAACATTATGTTAACTCTACTATCAACAACTTACTTTCATACTTGACCCTCAGTAATTCATTTTTTCAATAGATTATTTATTAAATGCCTATTGTGCTGAAATATTAATAACAAATAATAATATTGGAGATGAAGATGACTCTCTTTATCAAAGCTTTGCACCCAAACTAAGAAAATGGGCAAATTAAACACGAGTGAGCATTTACTCCCAACATCAGGCTTTCAAAAAGTCTCCCTGTAGGGCTGGTTGTGAACTGCTCACCTGAAATTCTCCTGACAAGACTCTGCGAGTATAGATGTTGCTGGTGTAAGGTTCAATGGACTCATTATTCCCCAGGATCTGAGCAGTGGAAGCTGTAGGCATCGGGGCAATAAGTAAACTGTTTCTTATACCATACCTACAGAAAAGGAGATTATCAGGTACTAGTCCCAAAGCTACAATCTGCCAGGAAAGTAGTTACTTTAAGTCACTGTAGTAAATATAGATAAATGTAGTAAATGTAAATGTAACATCATACATGCATTGAATTCACATGTTGACTTTCAAATTAAACTACTACAGGCAGGCAATTCCACAGTATGGGTGCTATTATAGCTCCCTCTCCTCTTAAATGTCTGACTCCTAAACTGAATTAGTATAATTTTTATTGTTGGCAATCCTTATCATGCCATGATTTATGCCACTTGGACTGTAGCACTCAGGAATCATAACACTTGATACACTATCTTGCCTAGGGAAACATTCAAAGTGATGTTGAAGCGCTCCCCACCTGTATTAGGGTATGCTCATCCAACCCTCATTCTTTTCTAAGTGCCTATAAAATCACTGTGCTAGGCCCCTTCTGGAAAAATAATAATGAGAAAGTGGTCAGAATCAGACAAATATCACCGTAATTCTCCATTATCCTGTAAACAGGAAGAAATTATGCTCAAAGTATATTCTTCAATTATAAGTTCCTGGAAGGTTAACATCTTTTGACAAATCAATGCCCAAGAGTACTTAAGAGAGAATATACTATCTGACACACTGAGAAATCTCCCAACTGCCCCTAGCTCACCTTCAAAGCTCAGCCTAACTGATACCAATTTTAAAACATCTTTCCTGATCAGGCAGGCACAAATACAAATGTCAAATACAAATATCTGCTCTGCAAACATTTTCTCTGACTTGTACCTTTCCATACACCTTAACTACTTGTCTTCTTAGTCTCAAGTTTTTAAAACACAAAGAGCCTGTATTTCCTACATTCTATACCTATGGATTCATAAGATGCTTAGCATACAGCCTCATATCCTGATGGAGTCTGTACAACTGGATATAGTTTGGCTGTGTCCCCACCCAAATCTCATCTTGAATTGTAGTTCCCATAATCCCCACGTGTTATGGGAGGGACCTGGTGGGAGGTAATTTAATCACGGAGGAGGTTACCCTCATGCTGTTCTCATGATAGTGAGTTCTCACAAGATCTGGTTTTATAGAGGGCTTTTCTCCCTTTATTCAGTACTTCACTTGCCGCCATATTAAAGAAGGACCTGTTTGCCTTCCCTTCTGCTATGATTGTAAGTTTCCTGAGGCCTCCCCAACCCTGCAGAACTGTGAGTCAATTAAACCTCTTTCCTTTATAAATTACCCAGTCTCAGGCAGTTCTTTATAACAGTGTGAGAACTGCCTAATACAACTGGGTTCTCTACTTTTTAGTTTTTATTATCTTTTCATTTACTTTTTTTGGGGGGTGTTTCTCCACCTTACTCTGTCACTTTGTAGTGAGGTATCAAGCAAACCACCAACTATCTTCATGTCTTTACTGCCTCATCTGTAAAATAGCAACACCATCTGTCTACAGACAGGAAACTGTTGTGAAAAGTCATACATATATGATATATTCAAACTATGGAATTGTCTGTAATAATTAAAAACATTAGGTAGATCTACATGTACTAAAAGAGAAAGAGCTCCAAAATAAATCACTAAATAACAAGTCTCAAAATACATCAAGTCTTTTTTTTTGAGACAGAGTCTCAGTCACCTAGGCTGGACTACAGTGCACAATGTCGGCTCCCTGTAATCTCCACCTCCTAGGTTCAAGTGATTCTCATGCCTCAGCCTCCCGAGTAGCTGGGATTACAGGCACGCGCCACCATGCCCAGCTAATTTTTGTATTTTTGGTAGAGACGAAGTTTCGCCATGTTGCCCAAGCTGGTCTTGAACTTCTGATCTCAAGTGATCCGACCACCTCAGCCTCTCAAAGTGCTGGGATTACAGATGTGAGCCACGGTGCCCAGCCCAGAATACAAGTTTCATCACATTTATGTGACAAAACCGTGTGTGTGTACCTATCCGCAAATGTACTGAAAAAGATCTAGAAAAATACACTCCATTAACAAGGCTTATCTCTGGGAAAAAGAATAAGTTACTTTTTTGGTTTGTTTTCTGAGACAAATGGTTGGCAGAAGTATGAAGAAGGGCTTTTACTTTCTATTTTATTTCTGCATTTGAGCTTTATTAATAATAAATTTGTGTTCATATACTAATTTTGAAATTAGAAAAAAAAAAGTCATGTATATAAAAAACTAGGCCATAGTATTTTGAGGGGGGAAAAATATATATATATATAAAAAAATATAGTACAGGTCCATTTTCTTAAAAGTTGAATTTCCCATGTAAATACACTCTTGGAAGTGTGTGTGTACTCTTGGAAGAAAACCGAAAGGATGATAAGATGCACACAGGGTTTCTGGGGGAGGCAGTATTAGTATAATTTTCATTTTCTCTTTCCAAATCTATGTTTTCCTAAATTTTCTAACATTGATTATTTGACTAGGAAAACAATTTTAATTTAACAATTTTAAGGCAAACAGTTATTTTTTTTAAAGAGCATTTTAAAACTACTGCCTCATTCTCCAAATATTAATCACTTTGCATATGCATTAACCCATAAATGACAAAGTCATCACGATAGAAAACAAAAACAATTTGCTTTGTTATTCACTCTGCAAAACATTCTGCCTGCTTTCGAATCCATTATGCTTATTAATTTGAAAGGTCTACAAAAACTCAATTTTAAAACTTTTCTTTCCTATAGTTAAAACACATTACCCTCCAAAAACTCTTCCAAAATCCCTTATTCCTATGACAAAATCCCTTATTCCTATGACAATCAATTCAAACAAAAGCCATTTATATGGCCGATGTAACTAAATTGGGAAATAAATAAGAATCAAAAACATTTAAAAAAAAAAAAAAAGCATAGTTGGAAAAAAGCCTTAATGAGAAAGAAAATTACCTAATCTAGGTGTGTTAAGTTCCTAAAATAAGATCAACTAATAATAGCAATTCCTACCATGTACTGAAATGCTTTCATTGTGCCAAGCAACTTGCAGGTTCTATATATAGATTATCTTACAAAGTTTTTTCCCAAATAGTTTTGTGAGATAGGCCATTTTAGCCCCATTTGTAATAAATGAGTTTAAGAAGTTAAAATGACATATCTAACTTCTGAAGATCCAGAAGGTGAACCTAAACCCTTCTGCCTTCAAAGCTACTTTACATCTCTTCACTTACTTTGCAATGTTCTCCTTGAGAAGGTTCCAGTCCCATAGGTCTGTAGGAGTAACATTCCACATATCATACTGAAGAATCTAAGGAATACACAACTCAAATTTATTCTACAGCAAGTTAAAACTATGAAAAAAAAAAAAAGACTAGCTGCCATGTCACCACATCCCAACAAATGCTGTCTTCTAATCGACCTCTATGAGGAATACAAGCTCCAGAGATTTTCCTGTACAAAATTCCATGTAGTCATATTGATCAGAAGCAGGCTAAGAAAACTGATTATCCCACATCATATCTACAAACCAGAAAACCCTAAAATTCATAAAAGCATGTGGCTGATACATTCTGTTTTTTTTACAGTAAAAATGTTACTTTAACCTTGTCTTTCTTCAGTGCCTTCATCTGTCCCTTGATCTGTTTACTTAGCTAAAAACACCTATTTTCCTCTAATACCAGCAGGAATGTCAGAAATAAAATTAACATTTTATATAGAAAAGAATCATAGTACTGATAATAAAGGCAGTGAAGGCAGAATTCTAACACAGCTCCTCAGATTCCCACACCTTGGTGCACAGGCTATTTATAATCTCCACTTGAGTACGGACATGACTTGAGAATAGGATGGATGTCACTCCAGTGATTATGGCAAAGGTGAAAGGTTTCTGCAGATGTAATTAAGGTTGCAAATCAGCTGATTCTGAGTTAAATAAAAGGAAGATTATGCCAGGAGCAGTGACTCATACCTGTAATCCCAGCATTCTGGGAGGCCAAGGCAGGTAGATCACTTGAGGTCAAGAGTTCAAGACCAGCCTGGCCAACGTGGCAAAACCCCGTCTCTACTAAAAATACAAAAATTAGCCAGGCGTGGTGCCATACGCCTGTAATCCCAGCTACTCGGGAGACTTGAGACAGCAGAATCGCTTCAACCTGGGAAGCAGAGGTTGCAGTGATCTGAGATCACAGCACGCACTCCATCCTGGGTAACAAAGTGAAACTCTGTCTCAAAAAAAAAAAGGGGGGGGATGGTGGAGGGGTGGCGGGGAGATTATCCTATGTGGACCTGATTTATTAGGCGAAACACTAAAAAGAGACTAGAGTATGCCCCTTTTGAAATGAGAGATGGTCTCTCCCACTGGCCTTAAAGAAGCAAGATGCCATGAATCCTTGAAATATATTTTGCCAACAATGAGGTGAGCTTGGAAGAGAACTCTGTGTCTCAGATGAGACCACAGCCCTTTACCAACATCTTGAACACAGACCCAGAAAAGAAGGCCCAGCTAAGCTAAGTCTGGACTCCTGACGTCTGGAAACTGTGAAATAACGAATGCATGTTTTAATCCACAGAAAATAAACACTGGCAGCATCCCTCTTATATTATTTTAGCAATGACTAGTTCTAAATAAAAGATTAAAACAGAGTATCCTTTTTACTCCAGAGGACAAAGGTACTGAAGTTTCCTATGGCTGGTGCAACAAATCACTAAAAACTTGATAACTTAAAATAACAAAAATGTATTCTCTCATAGTTCTGAAGACCAGAAGCCCAAAATCAACATGTTGGGAGGGCCACACTCCCTCCAGAGGCACTAGAAGAGATTCTGTTCCTTGCCTCTTATAACTGCTAGTGGCTATCAGCATTCCAAGGCTTGTGGTTGTAACACTCCAATTTCTGCCTCCATAGTCATGTTGCTTCCCCTTCTGTGTCTCTTGCAGGACAACTGTCATTAGATTTAGGGCCCACCTGGATAATCCAGGTAAATCTCCTTATCTCAAGGTTCTTCATTACATCTGCAAAAACCCTTTTTTGAACCAAATAAAATGAAATTCACAGGTTCCAGGAATTAGGAGGTGGACATATCCTTTTGTGGGGTCACCATTCAGCCCACTACAGGTACTCACAGGCAAAAACAATTTCATCCATATACTTACTCCTTTGCTAACTGGAGAGCCCTCATAGGTTTCGTATGGGCCCTGCTCCTTGGCAAGGTCACAGCTGGCTTCCAGGGCGCCATAATAAATAGTTTCAAAGATCTGCTTATTTAGTAATTGGGCTTCTGCACTCTCAAAAGGGTATCTCATCAGGATAAAAGCATCTGCCAGACCTTGTACCCCAATTCCAATGGGGCGATGACGTTTATTTGATAGGCATGCCTTTGTGTCAACAGATTTTAAAGAAAAGGAGAAAATATTACTGAACAGGAAAATCAACATTCTGTACTAAATGAGACAGACTACCTCTTTTTCTCAAACCACTTTACTGACAACCATTTAAATAATGACTTGAAGATCATGATTGATTCCTTTCAATTTGGATTTCAATAATTACCAATAAGCAGAGAAATATATTCATACCTCTGGTACAGGATAGTAGTTTATATCAATAATTTTATTCAAGTTTCGGACAACGACTTTAGTGACTTCAGCCAACTTCTTAAAGTCATATGTGTGTTCTGATGTGACATACATATTCAGGGCCAGGGAAGCCAAATTACAAACAGCAACCTGGAATGCAAAAAACAGGTCAAGAATCACACAATTTTTATTTCTACTTCCTATGTCAACTACACCACCATGTGAGCCTCTAATACTCTCAAGACAATAAAATGTTAAATTTTTATATTTGACTTCTCCCTCTTCATCATTCATCAGTCCATTTCTAAATCCCACTGATTCTATTTCTTCAATACCTAGTCATATGTGTTAGTGATAACATGCATCAGCAAAATAAGATAGAGAATCCTGTGTTCCACAGTACACAGCTCTATTACCAGACATATATCACACTATGTTATAATTAGCTTTTTACATATACCTATCTCATTATTCAGTAGATAAGTGCCCCTACAATATGGTAGCCACTGGCTACATGTATCTGTTTAAAATGAAATAAAATTTGAGTTTCTCAGTTGCACTAGTCATATTTCAAGTGCTTAATAGCCATCAGATACAGAACAATTCCATCACTGCAGAAAGTTCTTCAAAGCACACATGTCCACCTCACCTTCACTGATATTCTGATAAGCCCTTAGCAACAAAAGATTCCAATTTGTGATTTCTGAAAAAGCTCTTCCACTACACTAGTGTAGTGTTCCTCCACTACACTAGGCAGTGAGCTTCACACAAGGATCATTTTATTTATATCTTTAGCACTAGCAACACATCTGGCACACAGTAAGTCTTGATAATGCTGAATGAATACACTTTCTTTTCCATTTTGGTTACGACTATCCCAAGCCAAAGTCTTAAATTCTCTCACCTGGACTACTGAAAGTTTCCCAATTGAATTCTTGATGCCCTTCACATCTACTTCATTCTACACATGTTGCCAAATACCCATTTTTAAAATACAGCTTGAATCACAAAAGTCTAATAAATACCAGGGAGAAAAATAGGCAAGAAAAGAAGACAGAGAGTACTTGGGATAAAGATGAAGGGGGGTGTAATTTTTAAACAGAGTTGTTAAGAAAGACCTCACTGAAAACGTTGCATATGAACAAAGAACTGAACAGGTTAGAAAGCAAACCATGTGGCTATGGGAAGAGGGGGTGCACTTTAACATTCAAGAGGGAAGAAAGAGCAAAAATTCTGAGGTAGGAGCATGCTTGACATGTTTGAGAAAAAGCAAGAAAATCAATAAGGTTGGAGCAGAGTGAACAAAGGAGAAAGTAACCACAGATGAGGTGGGTTATCCAGTTGTGTAGGACCTTGTAGAGCATTCTAAGAACTCTGGATGGAAAGGAATGAAGTACTGATATATGCTACAACACGAATAAAAGAATATGTTCAGTGAAAGAAGCCTGACACAAAAGGCCACATATTATATGATTCCATTCCTATGGAATGTCCACAAATCTAGAGACAGAAAATATATTAGTGGTTGTCAAGGGCTGAGGGAAGAAGGGAACAGGGAGTGACTGCTAATGGGTAAAGTGTTTCATTATCTAGAGTGATAAAAATGTACTACAGGCTGGTCACGGTGGCTCATGCCTGTAATCCCAACACTTTGGGAGGCCGAGGGGGGTGGATCATGAAGTCAAGAGATTGAGACCATCCTGGCCAACACGGTGAAACCTCGTCCCTACTAAAAATACAAAAATTAGCTGGGCGTAGTGGTGCGCGCCTGTAGTCCCAGCTACTTGGGAGGCTGAGGCAGGAGAATTGCTTGAACCCAGGAGGTGGAAATTGCAGTGAGCCGAGATCAAGCCACTACACTCCAGCCTGGTGACAGAGACTGTCTCAAAAAAAAAAAAAATACAATTAGAGAGTGGTAATGGTTGCACAGACTTGCAGATACACCCAAAAAATAAACACACACACACACACACACACAACAACATGAATTGTACATTTAAAAAGAATGAATTATAGCTCAGTTTACAAAAAGAAAGAACTCTGTTGACGTTGCAATGAGCCACACTCCAGCCTGGGCAACAGAGTGAAATCTTGACTCCCTCAAAAAAAGGAATTCTGCGTGGGTTAGCAAGCCAAAGAGTAGTTTTGTGCAGACAAATGACATTATCTGATTTTTATTTTTAAAATGTCAGTCTAGCCTCTATAATATAATCTATCTTGCATAATAGTTACTTCAATATATGTCGATTTCTTCCAACTAAATTAGAAGTTTCCAGAGGACAGCATATTTATTTATATTCTCAGAGTACTTAACACAGCGTTTTATATATAGCTGGTGCACAATAAATTTTGAATTAAAATGTACCTTAGCAGTATATTTAACTCAATTTCCATTTACTTCCTGACTTTTCATTTGTCTTTTTTTTTTTAAGGTCCTAGAATTGAGGATCTACTCCTTCCTCATTTCCATAGTTTACACCCAATATCAAAGCACCCTGTCATCCTATTACTGCAACCATCTCCCTAGGCTAACCTCTAACCTCTTCTCACAGCAAGACACTCTGTAACCAGACACAAGAACCATCATTTTCTTTTTTTTTTTTTTTTTTTTTTATTTATTATTATTATACTTTAAGTTGTAGGGTACATGTACATAACGTGCAGGTTTGTTACATATGTATACTTGTGCCTTGTTGGTGTGCTGCACCCATCAACTCGTCATTTACATCAGGTATAACTCCCAATGCAATCCCTCCCCCCTCCCCTCTCCCCATGATAGGCCCCGGTGTGTGATGTTCCCCTTCCCGAGTCCAAGTGATCTCATTGTTCAGTTCCCACCTATGAGTGAGAACATGCGGTGTTTGGTTTTCTGTTCTTGTGATAGTTTGCTAAGAATGATGGTTTCCAGCTGCATCCATGTCCCTACAAAGGACACAAACTCATCTTTTTTGATGGCTGCATAGTATTCCATGGTGTATATGTGCCACATTTGCAAATCAAAACCACAATGAGATACCATCTCACACCAGTTAAAATGGCGATCATTAAAAAGTCAGGAAACAACAGGTGCTGGAGAGGATGTGGAGAAATAGGAACACTTTTACACTGTTGGTGGGATTGTAAACTAGTTCAACCATTATGGAAAACAGTATGGCGATTCCTCAAGGATCTAGAACTAGATGTACCATATGACCCAGCCATCCCATTACTGGGTATATACCCAAAGGATTATAAATTATGCTGCTATAAAGACACATGCACACGTATGTTTATTGCGGCACTATTCACAATAGCAAAGTCTTGGAATCAACCCAAATGTCCATCAGTGACAGAACCATCGTTTTCATTTTAACATTTTGATACTATTTTCCTGTCAGAAACCTACAAGGGCTTCTTATCTCTGGGACATGTCAGTTTCTACCTTCTATCTCCCTTCTCCCAGCCATAGCCATTTCTCCATATTCCAACAATTAATCTACTTGCACCATCAAAACAGACTTACTTGCCACACTGCACAAAACCCAGCCCTGTCTCTGGCATATCATACAGACCACTCTTTCCAAATGGAAAGCTCCTCTCTAAAACTTTTTTTTAAAACATCAAATCCATGTCCCATTTCTAGCCTTGATTCTTCTGTGAAGTCTCTTTACAGGCTTTGAGATTAGAATTGGATCTCACCATTCACTGAAAGGACTCTCTTTATAAGCTTACATACTTTTTTTGTTGCTGTTTTTGGTTTTTGTTTTTCTTTTTGTTTGTTTTGACACAGGGTCTCACTTTGTCACCCAGGATGGAGTACAGTGGCACAATCTCAGCCCACTGCAGCCTCCACTTTCCAGGCTCAAGGCTTACGTACTTTAAATTGAATGTACATCCTAACACATTTTTGTGTGTGTCCTAAACCAACATAACTGTATATTTCTATTTTTCTTGAGTAAATGTTATTACAATGATGTGTGTATAAGAAAAAACTGTGTCTTTCCCACACGGCTTAGACTAAAAAACATTTATAGGCACAGATCATACCCTTTCCTTCCTTTGCTCTCTGCCTTTAACAGTATTCTTCTGCTTACCACTATGCAAACTCCCTTCACTTACCTCAAGTGAAGAATTCACAAATTCCTAAGGTTCTTTTCTTAGTACTCTAGGAAGAATTTTTTCTACCTACCTCATCTTTGCTGGTGTACTCCACTATTTCTGTGCACAGGTTGCTGCATTTGATGGTTCCCAGGTTCTGCTGGTTGCTCTTTCGATTACAGGAATCTTTGTAGAGCATATATGGGGTGCCTGTTTCTGTTTGAGACTCAATGATGGCATACCAAAGCTGCTGAGCTTTTACAACTTTGCGGACACGACCTTGTTTCTCATAACTGAAAGGCACAGATATTATTTAATATATATTCTCTATATTTATTGTATATTTATTTACAATGTCTACGATATATATTTATTGTAGACAACTTGAAGACATTAAAATATAAAGTTATGAAAGCTCTTAAATTTTTTCTAAGCTTTGCTAAAGTAAAAAAGGAATATGATACTTATTTTACTCTGGCTAAAGCCATAGAGGAAAATGAGGCTTTAGGCTCCTTCAAATGATCCCAATCCCACTAAACCAATAATATCTTTCATAATAAAAAGGAGTAAAAACTAAGGAAACCAAATCTCTTAATATTGTGCTAATTTTTTTTTCTTTTTTGAGACAGAGTTTCGCTCTGTCGCCCAGGCTGGCTTGCAGTGGCACTATCTCAGCTCACTGCAACCTCCACCTCCGGGGTTCAAGCGATTCTCCTACCTCAGCCTCCCAAGTAGCTGGGACTACAGCTGTGCAGCAGCACGCCCAACTAATTTTTGTATTTTTACTAGAGATGGGTTTCACCATGTTGGCCAGGCTGGTCTTGAACTCCTGACCTCAAATGATCCACCTGCCTCATCCTCCCAAAGTACTGAGATTACAGATATGAGCCACTGCACCTGGCCTATTTAATTTTAATAAACTATTGACATATGTATCCTAGTCACTCATGATTCCTTTATGCAATATAAAGCATAGCTTATCAAAAGTACTATATGACAGAGCAAAATAATAACCCTGCTAGTCATCTTAATTTTTATAAGGATCAATTAAAAATCCCAAGAACCTATTTATACATTCCAAAGTTTTAAGAAAGAAGAAGACGCAACTCAATTTTGGTGAAGAGTTAGGAAGCAAATATGACCAAAATTATTAGTCACTTTTTCTCTTAGATGCTTCAAAAGATTCTTGACAAGTACTTTTGATATTTGGACCCCCGAAATAAGAGAAACCATGATTAAAACATTATTGTTTTATTTTATATTTTTCCCATACCTTTCATATAGTTTCTCAAATTCTTCTCCCCAAACCTCATCCAGACCAGGACACTCATTTGGACACATCAAAGACCAGTCCTATAAAGGAAAGGACAAAATCACTCATAAGAAACTTAAAATAGCCAAGCATAATCCATTAGAAACACTGCAAGCATAAGGTGACTTTTACAAGTTCTCTTGGAAATTTGCTGTAGAAATAATCATTTTCAGGTTCAGGCCCAAACATCTAGGTCTGCCTGTTTATACATGACCTTTCAAGCATTTAGGTCACAAAGCATCTACTTTAGAGAACAGAAATATAAGACAAGCACAGCATCTCTTAACTTGTTCAGAATGCCTTCTGTGGCATCACACATAGATGGGCTCTTCCTAAGCATGACTTAAGATGACTAAAAAAGAGAAAGCTTATGTGAATCAAGTTGCCATTACCAACAAGTACCTATCTCTCACCTGATTAGTCTCTACTCGTTTCATGAAGAGATCCGGAATCCAAAGAGCAAAGAAAAGATCTCTGGCACGCTGCTCCTCCTTTCCTGTGTTCTTCTTTAAATCAAGGAATTCAAAGATGTCTAAATGCCAAGGCTCCAGGTAAATAGCAAATGCCCCAGGACGCTAGTGGTAAATAAATCATAATTCTCTTCAGAATAAAAATGAAACAAAGAAACATCATGTCTCCCAAAGCACTTTTATAGTATCTCCTTTGATCTTCACTACAATGAATTAAATAACATAAAAGTATTATAAAAGTGTACAATTTTACAATTGTAAAAGTAATATTTTACAATTCTATGAGTAAAAACGAATGAATGATATAAACAAAATGTGAAACAAGAAAGGTTAACTTTTCTAAAGTGACATGATGAACTACAAATGGAGCCTCCTCTTCAGCAATAGCCTAGCTCTCTTTACACAACATGACATGTACATAAAGCCCAAAGGAAGTTGCTTTTACAAAATAAGCCGTGCTCTTATTGAAGGTCAAAAAGTTGATCTGTCTTATCAAGGTCCCCAAAGTCCATCAGAGAGAAATTCATAAACTAACAGGTGATTAGTGTGCCTACAGTCACAAAAGGCAGACTCTAGTTGCAAACCATCCTGTTGATAAAACCAGGTAAACAACCCAATTCTTTCAACTTTACTGTTTCTTCTAGAATTAGGGAGAGTTTTTGTTTGTTTGTTCTGTTTTGTTTGAGACAAGGTCTACCTCTATTGTCCAGGCTGGAGTACAGTGGTATAATCTCGGCTCACTGCAACCTCCTGCCTACCGGGCTCTAGCCATCCTCCCACGTCAGCCTCCCAAGTAGCTGAAACTACACCATACCTGGTTAATTTTTGTATTTTTTGTGGAGATGGGGTTGCATCAGGGTGGTCTTGAACTCATGAGCTTAAGCGATCAGCCCACCTCAGCCTCCCAAAGTGCTGGGATTACTGGCAGGAGCCACCACACCCAGCCAATTAGGGAGAGTTTTGTTATTCCAGTTTGTTTTTGTTTTTGTTTTAAGAACAACCAAGGCCAGGTGCAGTGGCTAACACCTGTAATCCCAACACTTTGGGAGGCCAAGGAAGGTAGATTGCTTGGGTCTAGGAGTTTGAGATCAGCCTAGGCAAGAAAGTGCGACCCCCGTCTCTACAAAAAATATAAAAATTAGCTGGGTGTGGTGGCACAGGCCTATGGTCTGAGCTACATGGGAGGGCTGAGGCAGAAGGATTGCTTAAGTCCAGGAGGTCAAGGCTACGGTGAGCCAAGGTTGTGCCATTGCACTCCAGCCTGGGTGATAAGAGAGAGACAAAAAAAAAAAACAAAACAAACAAACAAAAAAAAACAAAGAAAAACGTAGAGCACATGTTACAACCCCATTTCAAATGACATATTTATATGAGTTACAACTTGAGAAATTCTTTGCAAATAAACTATTATGTAAGAAAGCTGAATAGATCAGTGGTTGTCTAGAGCCAGGGATAAAGTATGTGTGGGTAGGGATGACAGGGGTGACTGAATGTAAAGGTATATGAGGGAGAAAAGATTTTGGGGTAATGGAAATGTTCTACCTCTTTATCAATGTGGGGATTACACAAGTGTAACATTTGTCAAAACCCGTCAAACTGTACATTTAAAGTATATGCATATTAAAATAATTATACCTCCTCAAATTGATTTTACAAGTAAAAAATAAGTAATTAGAAACCACACATAAATGAGCCATCTTAAGTGTATATGACTAAAGCACCTTTAGTTCTGATTTCTAGTACTTTCAAGTCATGGAGCATACCTTGTTCCCACCTTGATCCACATATCGAGCTGTGTTGTTATATACTCTCAGCATTGGTACAAGGCCATTGGAATTGCCGTTAGTCTAAAAGAGAGAACATGATAGAAAAGACAGAGGGCACTCAGCAAAGAAAAGAACAAAATGGCCCCATTCTTTTATCAAAAAAGATGACTAATTTCTAGGTAGCAATCTATGAAGTTTACCTGCTCTCCATCTCTGCTTCTGCTTTGGAAAAATAATGCCCAAATAAAATCAACAAAATGCTGAATAAATTACAATTATGTACTAAGTTACCTCATGGCATTTCTAATTTACAATGAGATGTACCAATTACAAGTCAAAGGGATCGAAAATCAAGGTAGCTAAATTTAAACTCTACATCTTCTAAAGGTCATTATATAAAGATACACTTTGGGTAGAGTAAAAAAGAATATAAATACTACTACAATGCCTTTTTCCCAAAAGAAATCAAGGCAATTTATAATAAGAATTACATGCAGTAGCTATATCAGGGCAATAAATAAGGTAAAAGGAGATTCTCAGCAATAAGTGGACTCTAGAATGATGTTAAGAAAATAGAGACTCCTATGACTAGAAGACACTTCATCAAATTCTTTAAATAACCCTTCTCATCCCAACACAAGCCTTTAAACAGTCTAGAAAGATAAGTGAGCAATGGCTCACTCTACCATTGTGTAAAGTGCTGTATATATCACAGTACCTCCAAAACACAACATAATGGAATAATTTCCTTCTGGAACTTTATTCTACAGGGTTAGATATTTTCTTCATCTTACAGAAAAGGAAACAAACTCAGACATAAAATAACTAACTCCAGGCCACATTACTAGTTAAGTAGTGGAGCGAGGATTTAAATCCAGGTCTAAGTCAAAACCATTATCTTTACTCCCAATGAATAGTAAACTAACAAAGGGCTGAAGTTTACATCATAAAGTGTCAATGCATAAATCTTGTATCCTGGCTCTACCACATATTAAGTGATTGATCTCAGAAAGTAGCAACTTTCTAAGTCTCAATTTCCTCACTTGTAAAATTAGACAATGGCATCTTTATTCACAAGGTTATTTTAAGGAATAAAATTCCTGGCATGAGTCTATAATCATAGCTACCTCATAGGGTTGTAGTAAGGGTCAAATGAGTACTTCATGTAAAACATTTATAACAGACTTAACATACAGTAAGCAATCAATAAATGATAACTGCTCTTATTACTGCTAAAATAAGCCAGAATTCTAAAACCTGAGCTAAAAAGGATTCTAGAAATTATCTAGTCAAATCTAAATGTCTAATAACATAGATAAAAATGAAGCCAGAAGTGAAATGACTCACTCCAAGTCACATAGGCATTTAGTAATTAACAGAGACCCAGGACTCCCAAAAAAATAGCATATGCCCTCTCAACCATAAATCTGGTTGCTTTTAGACTTGAATCCCCTTTTAAAAGCCAAATGGCAGAAACTTACCCCAGCAATGTAGCTGCCAGTAGCCCGAATACAACTCACAGCAACACCAATTCCTCCAGCAGACTTAGAAATCAATGCACACTGCTTTAGAGTATCATAAATGCCTTCAATGCTGTCATCTTTCATACTCAGAAGAAAACAGCTACGGGGAAAAAAAAGTCTCAACTTAGAGCAGGGAAATGAAGCAGAGTCACAAAAATGATTACTCAACACGAGACACTAAGGCAAAAAAAAAAAACGGTTGAAGTTTAGAAAGTTCCTAAGTGAAGGGGTGGCCTGCCCCTCCACATTTGTGGGTGTTTCTCATTAGGTGGAACGAGAGACTTGAGAAAAGAAATAAGACACAAAGTATAGAGAAAGAAAAGCGGGGGCCCAGGGGACCAGCGCTCAGCTTACAGAGGACCCACGACGGCACCGGTCTCTGAGTTCCCTTAGTATTTATAGATAATTATCTTTACCATCTTAAAGATAAGGGAGTGGCAGGACAACAGGATCGTTTTTAGGGAGGAAATCAGCAGTAAGACATAAGAACAAGGATCAGCAGTAAGACATAAGAACAAGGATCTCTGCGACATGAATAAGTTTAAAGGAAAATCCTGTGCCTTGAGATAAACCTTTTAGCAGCATTGTTTCATCCTATCACATGGGGATAAACCTTGGACAATACCTAGCTTTTCTAGGAACAAAGACACACCCTGCATGCCCAAAATCCATTAAACCTTGAGTTACCACAGCACATGTCTCTTGCAAGGACAAGGTTGGGGGTAGGGTCACAGATTAACAGCATCTCAAATACAGAACAAAATGGAGTCTCTTATGTCTATTTCTTTCTATATAGACACAGTAACAGGCTGATCTCTTTCTTTTCCCCACACCTAAGTATTTTTCCAAGAAGAAAACCCACTTTACTGTACGTGACACAATAAAACATATCGAAATACCATTTTAAAATCATCTTGCTGCCTCCTCTAGAAAGTAAATAAGCCTAGGAGGAAGTCTTATAGATAAGTCTATAATATTAGCTTACATTTTCACCAGACTGCAAACGTGCCATTTTCACATGCATATTCATAAACATGCATCACAGTCTTTTCAGGTTGTTAGTAAGCCAAAAAAAATAAAGTTATGAAAATAATCTATCCAATGGTCAACCAATTCTTTGATATGTCTACCAAAATTATAGCTCCTTTACAGTCTTCTTAAAGACAACCCCTTTACCTCCACTTTGGATCTCATCCTACTCCCCACCTTAGGAACCTTACCCTATCAATAATCTCTTCACTTCCCTGAATATTCAATCATGCAAATGGATTCTATCTATTGACTAGGTGTTTAATATTCAGACATTCAGAAAAATATAGAGAATGATGTAACAAATACTCTGTACTTGCCATCTACCTCAAAAAATTAGAAACCACAAATATAGCCCCACTGCAATCCTCTAACATTTTTAAGAATTTCTATTATGACATTTTTACATGTTCTACACTTAGAATTTTTCTGGTTGCATATCTATTTATCATTCCGCAACTTGTTTTAATTCAACATTGTTTTACAGAAATTAATCCTTTTGATACATGTAAACAAACTTTATTTTCATTGCCATAAGGTATTCTATTGTATAAATATACCAATACATTTGTCCCATGCGCCTGTTGATGAACATCTGGATTATTTCCAATTCATCTGCAATTCCAAACAATGCTGCTATAAAAATTCTTGAACACATCCCCTTGTGTTTATCTCTAAGGATTTCTGTAGAATATAAACCTAGGAGACGAACTGCTGGGTCAAAAGATATATACATGTTTCACTTTACTAAAGATTCTCCAAAGTGGATGGACAAATCTATTTCTAGCAATGTATGAGATTTCCTTGTGCTCCACATTCTTGTCAATACTTGGAATTGTCAGCCTTTTCATTTTTATCAAAAAAAAAAAATATATATATATATACACACAAACACACACACACACACACATAATTTTCATTTTCCTATTGCACAGTGTAACATCTCAGATGTTTATTAGCCAATCAAGTTTCTTCTTCCATGCATTATTTGTTTATAGCCCTTGCCCATGTTTCTATTTGGCTTTCTGTTTTTCTTTTCTTTCTTTTTTTTTTTTTTTTTTCTGAGAAAGGGTCTAACTCTATTACCCAGGCTGGAGTGCAGTGGCATGATCACAGATCACAGCAGCCTGGACCTCCTGGGCTGGAGCGATCCTCCCACCTCAGCCTTTCAAGTAGCTAGAACTATAGGTGTGCACCACCATGCCTGGCTAATTTTCTACTTTTGCAGAGACAGGCTCTCACTATGTTGCCCAGGCTGGTTTCAAATTTCTGCCCTCAAGCCAGCCTTTGCTTTGGTCTCCCAGAGTGTTGTAATTATAGGCAGGAGCCACTGCACCTGGCCTTGTTTTTCTTATAATCTCTCAGTAGTTAACACATTGCAAATATCTTCTCTCAGTCTGAAACTTGTTTTTTGGGGTTTTTGTTGTTGTTGTTGTTGTTGTTGTTTTCAAGACGGAGTCTCACTCTTTTGCCCAGGCTGCAGGCATGATCTTGGCTCACTGCAAGCTCTGTCTCCCAGGTTCAAATGATTCTCATGCCTCAGCCTCCTGAGTAGCTGGGATTACGGGCATACACCACCACGCCGGGCTAATAGTTGTATTTTTAGTAAAGACGGGGTTTCTCCACGTTGGCTAGGCTGGTCTCAAACTCCTAACCTCAGGTAATCCACTCACCTTGGCCTCCCAAAGTGTGAAACTTGTTATTTGACTTTGTTTTTGGTTCACAGAAGTTTTTAATTTTAATGTAGTCAATTTTTCCAATGTTTTGCTCTATAGTGTTTTGCTCTGAGGTCATACTATATATTTTCCTATTGAGATGTAAGTGGAAGTAGGCCAGGCTCAGTGGCTCACGCCTGTAATCCCAGCACTTGGGAAGCCCAGGCGGGTGGATTACCTGAGGTCAGGAGATCGAGACCACCTGGCCAACATGGAGAAACCCCGTCTCTACTAAAATTACAAAAATTAGCTGGTTGTGGTGGCGCGTGCCTGTAATCCCAGCTACTCAGGAGGCTGAGGCAGGAGAATTGCTTGAACCCGGGAGGCAGAGGTTGCAGTAAGCCGAAATCATGCCACTGCACTCCAGCCAGGGCAACAAGAGCAAAACTCCAACTCAAAAAAAAGGTTAAAAGGGCCAGGCGCGGTGGCTCAAGCCTGTAATCCCAGCACTTTGGGAGGCCGAGACAGGCGGATCACGAGGTCAGGAGATCGAGACCATCTTGGCTAACACGGTGAAACCCCGTCTCTATTAAAAAATACAAAAAACTAGCCGGGCGAGGTGGCGGGCGCCCGTAGTCCCAGCTACTCGGGAGGCTGAGGCAGGAGAATGGCGTAAACCCGGGAGGCAGAGCTTGCAGTAAGCTGAGATCCGGCCACTGCACTCCAGCCTGGGCGACGGAGCAAGACTCCGTCTCAAAAAAAAAAAAAAAAAAAAGGTAAAAAGGTAAGTGGAGATATTAAGAGTCACAATGTCTACAACTCACTTTTTTTTTTTTTTTGGAGGAATCCCTCCAGAGGTTTTGAGGGAGAATCTGTTCCTTGCTTTGTACAGCTTTTGGTGGCTAATTGCTCTCCTTTGTGGCCACATGACTCCAATTTCTCCCTCCATCTTTACATCACTTTCTCCTCTTCTGTACGTTGTTATCTCCCTCAGCCTCTCTCTTACAAGGATACTTTTGATTGGATTAAGGGCCCACCCACATAATTCAAGATAATCTCCCCATGCATGTCAAAATCCTTATCATACCTGCAAAGACCACTTTCCTTATCAGGTAACGTTTACAGGTTCCAGGAATTTGGACCTGATATTTTTGGGCAGTCTTTTGCTCTTTCACATGAATTTTAGTATGTTGAGATTTTGACTAGAATTACTTTGAATCTATATTTTAACTTGGGAAAAACTGACATTTTTATAAAATTGAATCTATTCCATTCATTTATTATTTAATATCCTTTAATCATGTCTTAGAGAAATTTCTAAAAAACTTAAAAAACCAGGAATGGTAGCTCACGCCTGTCATCCCAGCACTTTGGGAGGCCAAAGAAGGCAGATCACTTGAGGTCAGAAGTTTGAGATCAGCCTGGCCAACTTGGTGAAACCCCGTCTGTATTAAAAATACAAAAATTAGCTGGGTGCGATGGCACACGCCTGTAATCCCAGCTATTTGGAAGGCTGAGGCAGGAGAATCACTTGGACCTGGGAGGTGGAGGCTGCAGTGAGCCAAGATCACGCAGCTGTACTCCAGCCTGGGCAACAGAGTGAGACTCTGTCTTAAAAACAAAAAAAAGGCCAGGCGCGGTGGCCCACGCCTTTAATCTCAGCACTTTCGGAGGTCGAGGCGGGTGGATCACGAGGTCAGGAGATTGAGACCATCATGACTAACATGGTGAAACCCCGTCTCTACTAAAAAAATACAAAAAAATTAGCCGGGCGTGGTGGCAGGCGCCTGTAGTCCCAGCTACTGGGGAGGGTGAGGCAGGAGAATGGTGTGAACCCGGGAGGTGGAGCTTGCAGTGAGCTGAGATTGCGCCACTGCACTCCAGCCTGGGTGACAGAGCAAGACTCCGTCTCAAAAACAAAAACAAAAAGTCAATGATGGACCACATATACGACAGTGATCATCCAATAATCTAAGGTTAATTTATTATTGAAGAAAATATTTTTAAAATAAATTTAGTGTGCACAATGTTTATACAGTCTACAGTCGTCAGTAATGTACTAGGTCTTCATACTCTCTTTTTTTTTTTTTTTTTGAGATAGTGTTTCACTCTTGTTGCCCAGGCTGGAGTGTAGTGGTGTGATGTTGGCTCACTGCAACCTCCGCCTTCCAGGTTCAAGCAATTCTGCCTCAGCCTTCCAAGTAGCTGGGATTGCAAGCGCCCGTCACCATACCTAGCTAATTTCTGCATTTTTAGTAGAGACAGGGTTTCACCATGTTGGCCCTGTGGTCTTGAACTCCTGACCTTGTGATCTACCTGCCTCAGCCCCCTCAAAGTGCTGGGATTACATGCGTAAGTCACCGTGCTCAGCCAGGCCTTCATATTCATTCACCACTCACTCACTAACTCAACCAAAGCAATTTTCAGTCCTACAAGCTCTATTCATAACTATCCTATACAGATGTATCTTTTTTTCATCTTTTTTTTTGGAGATGGAGTCTCGCTCTGTTGCCCAGGCTGGAGTGCAGTGGCGCAATCCTGGCTCACTGCAACCTCTGCCTCCCAGGTTCAAGCATTTCTCCTGCCTCAGCCTCCCGAGTAGCTGGGACTATAGACACACACTGCCATGACTGGCTAATTTTTTAATATATATTTTTTAGTAGAGACAGGGTTTCACCGTGTTGGCCAGGCTGGTTTCGAACTCCTGACCTCAGGCAATTCGCCCGCCTTGACCTCCCAAAGTGCTAGGATTACAGGCATGAGCCACCATGCTCGGCCCATTTTTTATCTTTTATAGAGTACTTTAACTGTGATATGTTTGGATACACGAATACTTACCATTGTATTACAAAGGCCTACAGTATTCAGTACAGTAACATGCTACACAGGTTTATAGCCTACGAGCAGCAACAGGCTATGCCATATATCCTATGTGTGTAGTAGGCTATACCATCTAGGCTTATATAAGTACACTGTATAATGTCTGCACAAGAAAATCACCTTACAACACATTTCTCAGAATATATCCCCATCGTTAAGTAATGCATGACTGTAGGTTAAGACTTAATTTTCTAACAGCTGAAGTACAGAAACTTAACTGATTGATGTATATTGAACTTATATCCAGATATTTTGCTGAAATCTTTTATTTCTAATAATGTGTCTGCAGATACTCTTGAGTTTCCTATGTAAAAGTCATTTCTTTCAATCATTACAGTTTTGTTCCCTGATTTCCAATCTTTTCTTTTTCTTATTTTACTGTGCTGGCTCAGCCTCCACTAACATGCTGAAAAAAGGGATGATACATCTAGGTTTTTATTGGATATCTTTTGCCAAATTAAGGAAGTTATTTTCTGTATCAATTTTGTAAAAGTGTTTATTATGAAAGAGCATTAAACTGCATAAAATGTTAATGCAATGAACTACATTATTTTTGACATTACCATGTTCTTGAATTCCTGAAACAAACCAACTTGATAATGGGTATTTTTTTTTTAATGTATTACCAGACTGTTAGTGTTCCTTTTCTCAACAAATGGCATCATGATTAATCCTGTTACTTACTGTATCCATAAATGCAAGAAGAACCACTGTTGACCCATATTCTGTCAATTTGACACCCTAAATATCTTTTATATATATTTTTATCTTAATCAAGGTATCACTCTGTTGCCCAGGCTAGAGTGCAGTGGCATAATCATGGCTCATGGCAGCCTTGAACTCCTGACCTCAAGTGATCTTCCCACCTCAGCCTTCCAAAGTGTTGGAATTACAGATGTGAGCCACCATGCCTGGCCCTAAATCTTTTGATCTATCTGCTTCTGTCAATTTCTACTTTCACCTCCCTAATCTAAACTACCACAGTTTCTTATATAAACTGCTATGAGAGTCCCCTAACTAGTTCTTGGCACTTACTTTCTTTTTAAAACAACCTTATTGAAATGTAATTCACACCAGGCATGGTGGCTCATGCCTGTAATCCCAGCACTTTGGGAGGCCGAGGTAGGTGGATCACCTGAGGTCAGGAGTTCAAGACCAGCCTGACCAACATGGTGAAACCCCATCTCTACCAAAAATACAAAAATTAGCCGGGTGTGGTGGCAGGCACCTGTAATCCCAGCTACTCAAGAGGCTGAGGCAGGAGAATTGCTTGTACCCAGGAGGCGCCAATGCACTCCAGCCTGGGTGACAGAGTGAGACTCTGTCTCAAAAAAAAAGAAATATAATTCACAAATAATATAATTCCCCATTTAAAGTGTACTACTCAACGGCTTTTAATAGACTCAGAGTTTTGTAACCATCACCACAATCCAATCAATTTTAGAACATTTTTGTTTTAAGCATTTGCCTTTTCTCCAAATCATTTACCACATTACAGTCAGAGATCTTTCCAGAATCTAAATCTCATTTAATCAGAGCAGGCAGCGATTAAAAGTTCATTAAATTATTTTTTATGTGATGAACTGCCCAGTTTCTTCAGGTCAACGTTTATTTCCCTACTCAAAACACATAACTAGAAAGTTGTGGGTGTACTCAAAACACCTACCTAGAAAGTTGTGGGCGGTTGGTACCAGCATTGAAGAGAGTGGGAGAAGCATGAGTAAACCACCTCTCAGAAAGAAGATTATATGTTTCAATTGCTGCATCAATGTCTTCTTTGTGGATCCCAACAGATACTCTCATCAACATATGTTGTGGTCTTTCAGCCACTATAGACAAAAGAGGAGTTTTCACATGATGAGACATGTCAGAAAAAGTAGGTTGAGATACATATTTGAATTTTAGAAAAGGATACCAAAAGGAAACTAGAAAAACTTTATACTAATAAGCAGGACAATTATCCACAAACTAAACCTAAAGTCCAAAATGTTATCTGGAGTCTAAGTAGGAATATTAAGACTTATAGCTCAAAGCTATATATTCAATATAATCAGTAGAAAATGTAACACACAAACATGTTCATTTCTCACCTTTTCCATTGATCTTCAACAAATAAGACCGCTCTAGCGTCTAGAAAGAGAGAAACAACAAAAAATTTTCAGAGCACCGTTTTTAAGACGCAGTGGATATATTATCCACTGTAAGACAATCTCTTTAAATCTTGGCCGTTTCTATAAAATTTCAAATGAAAAGAATAGCACATTTACTCTTCCTAGCTTCATGTGGAACATTATCATTGGCACTTTTTTTTTTTTTTTTGAGACGGAGTCTCGTTCTGTTGCCCAGGCTGGAGTGCAGTGGCGCGATCTTGGCTCACTGCAAGCTCTGCCTCCTAGGTTCATGCCATTCTCCTGCCTTGGCCTCCCGAGCAGCTGGGACTACAGGCGCCCGCCACCATGCCTGGCTAATTTTTTTTTTCTATTTTTAGTAGAGACCATGTTAGCCAGGATTATCATTGGCACTTTTTTAAAAAAAACTTTTTAAAACATTCTGTAGACACATGGTCTCCCTGTATTGCCCAGGCTGGTCTCGAACTCCTGAGCTCAAGGAATCCTCCCATCTCAGCCTCCTCACTGGCACTTTTGTTTCGGCAGAGACTGCATGAAAATTTCTGGAAAAAGTCAGCTCTGTACACATTAACAGCAGAAGTTGTAGTATTCATCATCATCATCAACACCAAAACAGCTAACACTTAAAAAGTGCCTGTAACAGACTAGGCACTAATCTAAGCAACATCTACACTCGTTTAATCCCCTGAAGACTCCTCATGGGGATTAAATGAGCAACATATACATCAGGGATTCTTCAGGGGATTAAATGAGTATATATGTTGTTTAGAGCAGTGCCTAGTCTGTGACAGGCACCTTTTTTTTTTGAGACAGAGTCTCACTCTGTCACCCAGGCTGGAATGCAGTGGCGCAATCTTGGCTCACTGCAACCTCCGTCTCCTAAGTATAAGCAGTATCCTGCCTCAGCCTCCCAAGTAGCTGGACTTACAGGCATGCACCACCATGCCCAGCTAATTTTTGTATTTTTTAGTAGAGAAGGCACTTCACCCCGTGGTCCAGGCTGGTCTCCAACTCCTGACCTCGGGTGTTCAGCCCGCCTTGGCCTTCCAAAGTGCTGGGATTACAGGCGTAAGCCACCACGCCCAGCCTGTTATAGGCACTTTAAGTTGAAATTTAAACTAAATTGGCCACAGTGGCTAATGCCTGTAATCCCAGCACTTTGGAAGGCCCAGGCAGGTGGATTACCTGAGGTCAGGAGTTCAAGACCAGCCTGGCCAATATGGCGAAACTCTGTCTCTGCTAAAAATACAAAAATTAGCTGGGCATGGTGGTGTGCGCCTGTAGTCCCAGCTACTCAGGAGGCTGAGGCAGGAGAACTGCTTATACTCGGCAGACAGAGGTTGCAGTCAGCCAAGATCGCGCCACTGCACTCCAGGCTAGGTGAAACAGTGAGACTCAGTCTCAAAAAAAAAATTTTTTTTAATTAAATTTGTTGTTGAAATTTTATATTCTCCCCATTCTAAAAAGGAGGAAACAAGCACAGAGAGATTAAATAACTTGCTAATAAGAAATAGAGCAGAGACTGGAATTCAGGTGGACACTGACATTCATGTTCTCAGTCACTACACTATACTATATACTATACTATACTATACTATACTATACTATACTATACTATACTATACTATACTATACTATACTATATTATACTATACTGCCTATCAACACAAAAATACTTAGAATGTTATGAAACACTTTTGGTAATTTATCTGCATAACTCCTCAGGTAATCCAGAAGTAATATGTGGAAAATTCAAAAATTGCAAATAGATAAGCTACCTTTGCCTTAATTCAAACCACCACTGCTACCTTAACCCCACTAACTCCCCAGGTCCACCCCAACTCCAAACAACTTATGGCCTTGATAACTGTCATCAAAACATAAATAAAATCCTGTATTTCATGATTTAAGTACAAGTCCCCAAATACTTGAAACCCGTTATTTACCTTAAAGCCAAAGTAATTGTAAGAGAAATCTCGGTCATAGATAATGGCAGAATTCAGGCGCTGATACGGGTGAAAAAGAACGCACAATTAAATTAAAATAATTACTTATTTTCACAAAATCTGTTGTCTCTCAGCCCTGACTCCAGAACTAAAATCAACACAGATAACACTAAGCATTATTACTGTAGAAGTCCATCTAACATTCTAAAAAAAAGAAACAATATATATAAATTAAGTATCCTAATTAGGTTTAAAAATATGTATATTACAACACTAGAAGATAATACATAAATATATGTTGTGAGATTACATTTAATTTTCCAAACTTTCACTATTATGTTTATAGTATGTTTTGAAAGGGGGGAAAAACATGAGCATAAATGGGACTATATTATCATCCTTAAACATGTTTTTAGATTACTATTAATCCAAAAGTATTGTTACTACATATTTACTAATATATATATATATTTACTTCAAAAACTAGCCTACCTCAAACTGCATATAACAGTATATGTAATAAACAATGACAAGAAGCAGGCTTACGTTAATTCTGGGGCTCTTCAAAATCTATGGTCCTTTAACAAGTTTCAGACAAACCACTATTGTAACAGTAAGATTTTATAGCGTAACTGGTCATTTTTACAGAGTTTTAGTAGGCTATAAAGCCATTCAGAGGAAAACAAAAGCAATTAACGTACAAATAATCATTTTTGATAGAAAAAAACGGAGCCAGGTTTTCAAAATACTAACAGTGTTTCTACATAATGATCCATATCTAAGGACTAGAAAAACCTATACGAAAGCTTGCTTTCCTTCTCTCTTAAAATTTTAAGGCCATCTTTGTTGCCAAAGGCAGGTATGGGCTCAGTATGAATATTACAGAACTGAAACACTTGACTATCAATAGACATATTTTTAGACACATGTTTGATGCTGCTGCTGTATTTTTGTCTTCACCTTGTCTTCAAGATTACACAAATTAACAACACACAAACAACTCAGTTTTCTCCTAGTCTCTTTAACATCAGATACATGTTTAGAGAGACAATTAATCATTCTTTTTTTTTTTTTTTTTTTGAGACTGAGTCTTGCTCTGTTGCCCAGGCTGGAGTGCAGTGGCATGATCTCGGCTCACTGCAAGCTCCGCCTCCCGGGTTCACACCATTCTCTTGCCTCAGCCTCCTGAGTACCTGGGACTATAGGCGCGTGCCACCACGCCTGGCTAATTTTTTGTATTTTTAGTAGAGACGGGGTTTCACCCAGTTAGCCAGGATGGTCTCGATCTCCTGACCTTGTGATCCACTCACCTTGGCCTCCCAAAGTGCTGGGATTACAGGCGTGAGCCCCCTCACCCAGCCTAATCATTCCATTACCCAAAGTTAAAACTGGTCTCTAACCTGTCCAGATATACATGGTAAATAAATCCTGTGTGTAAAAGGGCTGGTTAGGCTACATCTTTTCCCTTCTGTCCTCTGGCATCTAGTTAAGAAAGCAGTTCAAACACAAGTGGATAATTTTTAAGCTGCTGAGCATGAGCCTGTAAAATTTTACCTGAGCAACCTTTTTGGGTGTCAGTTTGGCAATGCCTATCAAAATTTTGAATTCACATACACATTGGCTCAGCAATTCAACTGAAGGGATTTATCTTTTTTTTTTTTTTTTTGAGACGGAGTCTCGCTCTGTCGCCCAGGCTGGAGTGCAGTGGCCGGATCTCAGCTCACTGCAAGCTCCGCCTCCCGGGTTTATGCCATTTTCCTGCCTCAGCCTCCCGAGTAGCTGGGACTACAGGCGCCCACCACGGCGCCTGGCTAGTTTTTTGTATTTTTTAGTAGAGACGGGGTTTCACCGTGTTAGCCAGGATGGTCTCGATCTCCTGACCTTGTGATCCGCCCGTCTCGGCCTCCCAAAGTGCTGGGATTACAGGCTTGAGCCACCGCGCCCGGCCGGATTTATCTTACAGATATATTCATCTATGGGCAAAACACCTACCATACAAGAATATTCACTGCAGTGAAAAGATGAAAACCAAATATTGATCACTAAAGGAATTCTTACACATACATACAATGACAATATATCTATAAAATGGAACATTATACAACTATTATAAAAAAATGAGTAAATTCATAAAGGCTGATAGAGAACAAACAAGATATACTTACAAGTGAAAAAAGTATCAATGAAAATAGTATGCACAGTACAGTACCACCAAAAATAAAAATATATATGTACACACACATATGCACACACATGTACATACAAAATAGCTCTGGAAAAATACATTTTAAAATGATAAAGTTGTTTCTAAAGAGGAAAATCAGGAATCAGGGCAGGAAAAAACAGAATTGTATTTACCTGTATCTTTTGTAGTGTTTAAATTTTCTAAAATGTGTGCAATATTAAAAAAGACTATCAAAAAATTTCCACCAGAAGAGTGTTATACATACATCTTTATTAGCCAAAACAATATCCAATGTTGACTTGGCCACCATAGGAGAGTGTTTGCCATTATGTGGATTTATGTAGTTATAGAGGTCTTCCATCACATCTAAAAAAATACAACAAAAAAAGAAAATATATCAAGACCACTTAACAGCTAATTCAATCTTTAGGTAACAGTTGAAAATAGTAGTTCTCAACCCTTTTTTTCTTTTTTTTTTTTTTTTTTTTTTTTTTTTTTGAGACGGAGTCTCGCTCTGCCGCCCAGGCTGGAGTGCAGTGGCCGGATCTCAGCTCACTGCAAGCTCCGCCTCCCGGGTTCACGCCATTCTCCTGCCTCAGCCTCCAGAGTAGTTGGGACTACAGGCGCCCGCCACCGCGCCCAGCTAGTTTTTTGTATTTTTTAGTAGAGACGGGGTTTCACCGTGTTAGCCAGGATGGTCTCGATCTCCTGACCTCGTGATCCGCCCGTCTCGGCCTCCCAAAGTGCTGGGATTACAGGCTTGAGCCACCGCGCCCGGCCAACCCTTTTTTTCATCTCAACCCACCTCAATATCTAGCATGTAAAGTGCTCAATAAACACATACATGTTGAAGAAATATGTAATGCCTCATTTAAGGAAACAATCTTCTAGAGTTAAAGTGATTATAAGCTCTTGTAGTTTAAAATAGATTCCTGGGCCGGGCACCGTGGCTCACGCCTGTAATCCCAGCACTTTGGGAGGCTGAGGCAGGCGAGTCACGAGGTCAGGAGATAGAGACCATCCTGGCTAACACGGTGAAACCTCGTCTCTACTAAAAATACAAAAAATTAGCCGGGCATGGTGGCACGCGCCTGTAGTCCCAGCTACTCGGGAGGCTGAGGCAGGAGAATGGCATGAACCCGGGAGGCGGGGCTTGCAGTGAGCCGAGATTGCACCATGCACTCCAGCCTGGGTGACAGAGTGAGACTCTGTCTCAAAAATATAAAAATAAAAATAAAAATAAAAATAAAATAAAATATAAATAAATAAATAAAACAGATTCCTAAGGCTGGACAGTGGCTCACATCTGTAATCCCAGCTCTTTGGGAAGCTAGCCACCCACCTCAGCCTCCTGAGTAGCTGGAATGACAGGCACACACTACTATACCTTGTTAACGTTTTTAATTTTGGAGAGAAAGGGTCTCACTATGTTACCCTGGCTAGTCTTGAACTCCTGGGCTCAAGTAATCCTCCTGCCTTGGCCTCCCAAAGTGCTGGGATTAGGCCCACCATGCCTGGCATAAAATTTTTAAAAACTTTTTTTTCCTTTTTGGCTCCCGATAGGAAACAATAAAGATTTTTTAATCTCAGTCTACCAGCTGGCTTCTTATATATTGAACAAATTAACCTTCCCTTTCCCACATTCCCTGAGCTGTAAAATGGTAGTGATGAAATGAAGAGTTCGCATCTAGTGAGAAAGGAGCAAGTATAACATTTTGTTTAACCCAAAACTTGTTAATAAATATTATTCATTTTTCCAACCATATCACCACCAAGCGCCTAACAATGGGCTTTAAAAAAGAGAGAGAGAGGCCAGGTGCGGTGACTCACGCCTGTAAACCCAGCACGTCGGGAGACCAAGGAGGGCAGATCACCTCAGGTCAGGAGTTTGAGACCAGCCTGGGCAACATGGTGAAACCCCATCTCTACTAAAAATACAAAAATTAGCTGGGTGTGGTGGCAACTGCCTGTAATCCCAAGCTACTCGGGAGGCTGAGGCAGGAGAATCGCTTGAACCCGGGAGGCGGAGGTTTCAGTGAGCCGAATCATACCATTGCACTCCAGCCTGGGTGATAAGAGCAAAACTTTATCTCAAAAAAAATAAAAAAATTTAAAAAGAGAGAGAATAAAAAACTTAAAGAACAAAGATACATCAACTCTTTTATACAGCAGATAGGCAGCATGGAGAAATAGGAAACTGTAGTCCACTCTTTCCCACTAATTTACATATTTGCCATTTATTTATTTATTTATTTATTTATTTATGAGACAGAGTCTCACTCTCTCGCCCAGGCCGGAGTGCAGTGACATAGGCTCGGCTCACTGCAATCTCCGCCTCCCGGGTTCAAGCAATTCTCCTGCCTCAGCCTCCCGAGTAGCCGAGATTATAGGCCCCCGCCACCATGCCCAGCTAATTTTTTGTATTTTTAGTAGAGATGGGGTTTCACCATGTTGGCCAGGCTGGTCTCAAACTCCTGACCTAAGCAATCAACCTGCTTGGCTTCCCAAAGCACTGGGATTACAGGTGTGAGCCACTGCACCCGGTCTGTTTTATAATTTTAGATTTTTCTTAAAACGCAGAGATGGGGTTTCGCCACATTGCCCAAGCTGTTCTCAAACTCCTGGACTCAAGCGATTTGCCTGCCTTGACTTCCCAAATTGCTGGGATTTGAGGTGTAAGCCACCCCACCTAGCCATATTTGCTTCTTTAAACAGTCAAGATTTCTACTACCCTTATTACTTTTCTGAGAATACTGAATTTTTACTTTTTCACCCAAGACTTACCACTGAACACTTTCTTTGTTTCTTTGTGTAAGTTAGAGACAGCAATCCTGGCTGCCAGGATAGCATAGTCAGGGTGCTTAGTAGTCAAGGTTGCAGCTGTTTCAGCAGCCAAAGTATCTAGTTCCACTGTGGTGACCCCACTGTACAAGCCTTGGATTACTTTCATGGTGATCTGAGCCTACAAAAATAAAACCAAGAATTACTTGAGCTTTCCCAAGAAACAATAGCTTCCTTAAAAGAGTAATTAAGAAAACCATCATGGCCAGGTGTGGTAGTACATACCTATAGTCCTAGCTACTCAGCAGTTGAGGTGAGGGGATCACTTAACCTTAGCAGTTCATGACCCTATTTTAAAAAAAAAAAAAAAAAAAAAAAAAAAAAAAGCCAGGCGTTGTGGCTCACACCCATAATCACAGCACTTTGGGAAGCCAGTGTGGGAGAATGGCTTAAGTCCAGGAGTTCGAGACCAGCCTGGGCAAGCCAGGAAGACCCCCCCCCCCACCATCTCCACAAATAATAAAAAAATTAGCTGGGTGTGGTGGTACACACCTGTGATCCCAGCTACTCAGGAAGCTGAGGCTGCAAGGAGCTGTGATTATGCCACTGCACTCCAGCCTGGGCGACAGAGTGAGACCCTGTCTCAAAAAAAAAAAAAAGGAAAGAAAAAAAGAAAACAATCAAATTCATATCACAATATAAACGACAGGTTGGGCACAGTGGCTCACACCTGTAATCCCAACACTTTGGAAGGCCAAGGTAGGAGGCTCACTTGAGCGCAGGAGTTTGGGACAAACCTGAGCAATATAATGAGACCCTATCCCTACTAAAAATTAAAAAATTAGCCAGTCAAGGTGGTAAGTGCCTGTGGTTGCAGCTACAGGGTAAGCTGAGGTGGGAGGAATGCTTGTACTGGGGAAGTCAAGGCTGCACTGAGCTATCTATGATCATAGCACTGTACTCCAGCCTGGGCAACACAGTGAGACCCTGTCTGAAACAAAGAACAAGACAATTTACTTATCTGAAAAATTATCTTTCGGAATGGTGGGCAGTGGGAAACTTAGTAATGAGAATGCACAACCCAGCAGAACTACAGAAAATGTATACTACATATAAAATGAAGGTGTTATTTAAAAAAACCTAAATATAGCCTTTAAATCAATTAGTCTCACAGGGAAATAGCTGAAAACATACTAATGATTCTGTATTTCCCTATTTTCATTCAAATTCTCCCAACAGACTAATGATTCTATATGAGTGTTTCCCCATTTTTCATTCAGATCCTCCCTAAGTGATCAGGGCTCCAGCTTCATACTTACTTTTCCCAAATTCCATATAAGGATAAGTACAGAAAAGCAAATGAATCAAACTTTAATCATGCCAATTAAAGGAGAAAGAAGTATAAATTAGGTTTGGGGCTGAGTCATGATAATTTAATGACTACTCTTTCTTTAGCACTTCACAAATTACAAAGTGCAACCTCCACCCCTGGGGTTCAAATGATTCTCAACCAAAGTTGATCAAAAATTATCAACTTTGATAATCTCTGACATTTCATAATCACTTTGTGAGATGATTATTACTATACCTATTTTACATTAAGAACCTGAGGCTCAGGTTATTGGGACTTGCCCAAGGTTATATTATTATACAAGTCTTCTGGCCCCAACCCCATTAAACTTCACTGTATTTCACTGTTTTCAAGGCCACATTGTAAGTTCATTTTTAAGACACGTAATGCACAAGGTATTAGCATACATTTTTAAGAAAAACAAATTCTAAGTTGTGAGTGTGTGTGTTTATTGAATCTTTAAGAAACCACTTAATCCAACAGAAAATAAATGTATTTCCCAGCTGAACAATGCATACCCCCCTCAAAAAAAAGACACATACATGTGTAACTATTTTAACAGTCTGCAATCTATTCTAATTATAATATAGCTAAACCCAAGTTGCTCCCGATCACTTTCTTCCCAGATCCAGTAGATAAGGTGTGTTCAGTATAAGAGCAGTGAAGTCTTCTAAATAGTTTCTAGAGTAATATGGCAAACAATTAGAACTCAGAATAAAATACCATCTGTGTGCTAACTGTGCTGTGCCAGATCTAACAGCATACACAGTTTTTCTTTTTTTCTTTTTGAGACAGGGTCTCATTCTGTGGCCTATGCTAGAGTACAGTGGCACAGTCTCAGCTCACAGAAACCTCAACCTCCAGGACTCAAGCGATCCTCCCACCACCAAGTAGCTGGGACTACAGGCATGCGCCACCATGCCCAGCTAATTTTTGTTTTTTTTGTTTTTGTTTTGTTTTGTTTTGTTTTTGTAGAAACAGGGTTGAGGGAAGGCACGGTGTGGCTCATACCTGTAATCCCAGCACTTTGGGAGGCCAAGCCGGGCAGATCACTTGAGGCCAGGAGTTCATGCCTGGCCAACATGGCAAAATCCTGTCTCTACTAAAAATCCAAAAATATAGCCGGGCGTGGTGGCACATGCCTGTAATCCCAGCGGAGGGAGGCTGAGGCACAAGAATCATTTGAACCCCAGGGGCGGAGGCTGCAGTGGGCCAAGATTGTGCCACTGCACCTGGGCAGTTTCACCACGTTGCCCAGGCTGGTCTCAAACTCCTGAGCCCAAGCAATCTGCCTACCTTGGTCTCCCCAAGTGCTGGGATTACAGACGTGCACCGACAGTTTTTCAACAGAATCTACCTTAGGAAGTTTGAGGATGCTGCAACACTCCTGTGCTCTAAAACGTACTACTGCATGAGGCAATAGAACATGTGGGAGTGAAGAGACCTAGGTGCTTCTCCCTATACTCCCACTAACTTAAGTCACTTCCCTCTCTCTTTGGAACTTTCTTACCTATAAAACAAAGATGAAATGGGATGGGCTCTCAAAGTTCATTCCAACTCTAACATTCTACTATTCTAATTATTGTCTTAAGTTCTCAATGTAAAAGAGAATTTACAATAAACATATTTTCAAGATGCATAAAATCATTTTCTCTTGACCAAACTTACTTTGGTCAAGTGGCTAATTAGATATATGTCAAGCACTGAGGATATCACAACAATAAGATACACAGCCCATCCTCAATTCTAGGGTAGGATAAAGACCTATAATTAATTTCCATGTTATATGATTAAAGCTATGAGATGAGCACAGGTTTTACAGCAGTACAGATAAGATACCTAAATAAGGAGATGGAAATATGGGTGGATTTGAAGAAAAGAGTTCTTAGAGATTCTCATTTAAGGAAGATCATTTTAGAAGTCAGGTGGAAGACGAGTTTGAAGAGGGCAAGATTAGAGGAAGTCCAGGACACTGCAGAGACCACAGAAAACAGTCCAGATAACTGATGAGAATCTAGAATATAGAAGTTATAAAGGATAAGGAAAAAAGCAGAGCAACTCGTTTATGAATAGTTTGTTCTTGACTTAAATATTGTCCATGAAATCTACTTTATATTACTTAAATCTTTTTACATAAATAACAAAAAGCAAATTTTAAACCAGTTCCTACCTAAATAACCACAATTCCAAAACAAACTTTAGGCTTCCCTTTTTTTTTTTTTTTTTTTTTGAGAGGGAGTTTCGCTCTGTCGCCCAGGCTGGAGTGCAGTGGCACGATCTCGGCTCACTGCAACTTCTGCCTCCCAGGTTCAAGTGATTCTCCTGCCTCAGCCTCCCAAGTAGCTGGGATTACAGGCGCCCACCACCAGGCCCAGCTAATTTTTGTATTTTTAGTAGAGACAGGGTTTCATCATGTTGGCCAGGCTGTTCTTGAACTCCTGACCTCAGGTGATCCGCCCACCTCAGCCTCTCAAAGTGCTGGGATTACAGGTGTGAGCCACCGCGCCTGGCCTAGGCTTTTCCACTAATGAATAAAACAATTTACTCAAGGAAATATCTGATATTAAATGTTAATATCAAATTTTCTTCTTTACTCACATTCATAGTTCTCTGAAAAGTGAGAACTCACAGGACAGAACCAAAATTAAGAAAAAAAGTTTTAAGCAATGAATTCAAATTTTATATCAAAGGGCATAGCCAGAATACCAAAGTATGTCAGGTGAGTGAAGGTCCAGGAATAAGAGACAAATGGAAAGAAACACATGAAACAAGGAACCCAAGATAAAAACCATATTTACTTACAGGATCAACAAAATCCATATTGAGTCCATAACAAAGCTTCTGGATTCGAGATGTAATTTTGTCAAACATGACTCGCTCTTGGCGGCCATCTAAAGAATCAAATCATGTTAGCAATTATTAAATTCTGTTAGCAATTATTAAGACTGCAATGTCAAAGAATCAAATGTAATTAACATGTAAATTGACCAACATGAAATGCTATTTCACAGATAAGATTCAGGCCCCCTCAAAAGATTCATGACGAGATTGTCTTCTCTGATGTCACCTTCAAAGAGTATGAATTCTATACATACAGATATTTACAGATAACTTCCTAAATTCCCCCCATCCCACATTGCAGCCAAAATTACCCTTTAAAAGTTAAACTCAGAATCATATCATTACCTCCCTCAAAACTCCTAATAGTGGCTTCTTATCTCCAGAATAAAAGTCAAAATTGTTAAAAAACAATCCACAGGCCAGGCGTGGTGGCTCACACCTGTAAGCCCAGCACTTTGGGATGCCAAGGCGGGTGGATCACCTGAGGTCAGGAGGAGTTCTAGATCAGCCTGACCAATATGGTGAAACCCCGTCTCTACTAAAAATACAAAAAATTAGCCGGGCGTGGTGGCAGGAGCCTGTAATCCCAACTACTCAGGAGGCTGAGGCATGAGAATTGCTTGAATCCGGGAGGCGGAGGTTGCAGTGAGCTGAGATCACGCCACTGCATTCCAGCCTGGACAACAAGAGTGAAACTCCATCTCAAAAAACAAAAAACAAAAAACAAAAAATCCACAGAATCCTATACAACCTGTCCTGTGCACCCACCTCCCAATTTCACCTCCAACTCTCCCACCTTCCTTCCTATTCTACCTTGACAACCTGGCCTTCTTGCTATAGATCTCCTTTAGGTCTTTTGCTCAATGTCATCACCTTCTCAATGAGGCTTTCCCTGATGATTCCATTTTAAATTGCAATGCCCCAAATAGGGCCCTTGCTCTTCTTATCTCCCTTCCCCTTCTGTGCTTTTTCTCCATAGCGCTTATCCCATCTGACATACTATATATTTTACCTAATATTTTTCATGATTTTGGACTTAGATTATATCTTTGTCCTTCTAGACAAAAGTCTTACTACTCTTAGTTTAACCTCAAATAGTAGCTCATCCGACCTTTATTTATTCTTACCAGGAATAGTGAATATATCAAACCACCAAACAGCCTTAACCCTAGGCAAGCCACAAAACATAATCAGTCATTTCACAGATCTTCATTTGTAGAAAGGGGTTAATTATTATATCTATTCTACTTGCCTCACCAGTTTACTGTGACAATAAAATGAGATAAGGTAAAAAGTGCTTTTGTTGTAACAACTTTGGCATAGTTACAACTATGATACCTCATTATAAAATAAAGCTGCTCCTATGGGGAAAAAAATCACAGTATGTGATACACAATAGGCACTCAATAAATATTAGTGTCTCACACTGATTTAGTTTTTGTCTCCTTTGTGCACCCACAATCCATTGTAACTATAGGCTGAGTATCCTTAATCCAAAATTCCAAAATCCAAAACACTCCAAAATCCAAAACTTTTTCAATGCCAACACAATGTTCAAAGAAAATGTTCCTTGGACCATTTCAGATTTTGGATTTTCTGATTAGGGATGCCCAACTGGTAAGTATAATGCGAATATTCCAAAATCTGAAACAAATCCAAAATCTCAAACACTTCTGGGCCCAAGCATTTTGGATAAGGGATACTCAACCTGAAGTAACCAATAAGAAACATGTTAAATATATTTACATTTGGCCCTCTCATTCACATCTGTATTCTCAAATTTAGTGCCTAGAACAAGGCAAGTTCTCAAACATTTGATGAAGAATAAATGAACAATAAGACATCACTATTAAACCATTATCACTAGAACAAGTTGCTTTTTCTTCTACACTGATATATTAGCCCTTCTCTTTCTGATCACCATTGTGATAATTTTCTGATTAGGCTCACATTTGCAGCATTTAACTCTGGAACAGGGTAAATTAACTGGCTGCCACTGGGACTGAAACCTCAGTGCTCTGGCAATTGGAAAACTAAGCAGGCAGGTAACCACAAAGCAACATTAGCGTTCTGCAATTATACATGGAGTGGCGGGGAAAAGCAACTTAGCAAAAAGAAAATTCTGCAACTGCCAGAAGTTCTGAAGTCAATCAGGAAACTGACAAAAAAAAAAAGTGCATTGGTAATTAATCTTAACTCACACGTGAGAATAGGAGGCAGACTAAAGATCTAAAGGTCCAATGACACGCGGTTCTCTATTCTGTCATTCCACTTGGTTAGTTTTTCAAGCCAGATGTCGATTTTATCACATCAGTAATCCCTGCTTCTCACTGCCTACATTATCCTCTTCTCTCAAGCAAAGTCTTTCTTAGTTTGGCCCCAGATCTCTTCTACTGTTCCATGTGAAATGTAAGTCCCAAGAAGGCTTCCCATTCCCATATCCACATCATTGCTTATACCGTACTCTGCCTAAAAGTTCCTCTTCCACATTTCCATACATCTAACTCCTGAGGCAGGCGGATCACCTGAGGTCAGGAGTTAGAGACCAGTCTAGCCAACATGGTGAAACCCCATCTCTACTAAAAATACAAAAAAAAACACAATGAGCTGGGTATGCTGGCAGGTGCCTGTAATCCCAGCTACTCGGGAGACTGAGGCAGGAGAATTGCCTGAACCCGGGAAGCAGAGGTTGCAGTAAGCTGAGATCACACCACTGCACTCCAGCCTGGGCAACAGAGCGAGACTCCATCTCAAAAAATAAAAAATAAAACAAAAAATCCTCTAGCATACTAGTGTGATTTCCTCTTGACTATAAACTGTCTTTCATTCTTCTCTCTTCAGGAAGATGTCCCTAATCCTGTAAGACCAAGGATGCGTGCCTTTTCCACAAGATACAAACTTTGTAATTTCCTCTGCCGAGAATGTTCAGGCCACAGATCTCACATTACAGTACCTCTTAGTACTATTTAGGGTTCAGCTCAAATGTTGGCTTCTCAGAGAAGCCTTTCCTGGCTACCTAATCCAAGGTTATTTTCTCATTCATCTTTATCACATGATCCTGTTTTACTATCATCTCATTAATCAGTATCTGAAATTAACTGATTATTATGTTTACTTATTTCTTATATACACTTACCACTCCCACCCACACCAAGTTGTAAACTCAATGAGAAATGTAATTTAGCTTTGTTCACTGCAGAATCTCTAATGCCTACAACAGCTCCTAGCACAAAGAGATGCTGAATAAATGCTTTATGAATAACTGAATGAATGGCCTCTACTGCCTATACTTTACCTCTCAGAGTATTTATCATATCTTATCATATTACTTCTTTATTTGTCTATCTTTCTCAATTGATTGTAGGATCTTTGGAAGCTGGAACCATGTCTGCCTACTCATCACAGGAATCCCAGTACACAGCACAGTATCCACACACAGAGTTGTAAAATAATATAGCAGGCTGTGAATGGAATAGGAAGGAAGGAAGGAAGGAAGGAAGGAAGGAAGGAAGGAAGGAAGGAAGGAAGGAAGGAAGGGGGGAGGAAGGGAGGGATAGGGAAATAATCTGGAATAAAAGAAAGATTAGAGTGCAAATGGATGCTTTCGAAGACATTATTTCGTAAACTTTTGTATCATTTTATGTGTATCCACATATATACATGTATGTCTGTAAAACGTTTTGTTTTTTACTGCGAGTTACAATCCAAAGTTTTGAAAATACTACACTAAATTCCAAAACAGTTTACAACTCAGTCAGCTACTTTGTCATTTACTGCAATGGTTCTCAGTGTTTATTTTTTTAACCATAATCTCCTTGAGGAATGATATTCTCCCATTAGGAAAAACAGCTCAAGATAGCAGATGAAAAAAACTTACCTACTATTCTCTTCTAACAATTTTCATATGGATTGTTCCTAAATCCCTAACAATTTTAAGTTCTTTAAAGACAGAGCTGCCTTCTCCATTACTGCCCTCACAGTGTTTAGCAAGACATTAGCACATTCAGTAGGTACTTGAAAGTCAACTTCCAGTTGCCCTTCTGAATAATTATATTAAAAATAACAAACCCTAGCTGGGCATGGTGGTGCACATCTGTAGTCCCAGCTACTGAGGAGGCTGAGGCAGGAGAATCTCTTGAACCCAGGAGGCAGAGACTGCAGTTGAGTTGAGATCATGCCACTGCACTCCAGCCTGGGTGGCAGAGCAAGACCCCATCTCAAAAAAAAAAAAAGAAAAAATTAACAAAAACTATAGGAGTTAGTCTGATATTTCACTGACATGCCAAAAATAAGAGGGGACAAAAAAAGTCCAGAAAACCAAAAACCCTATGCATATTAAACAAACATAAAAATAAAATATAGAAACATAGAAATATAAAAAAATAAAGAAAGAAATCTAAGTACATGTTGTACATTAACAAGTGTTGCTGAATGCTACAACGGCAGAATCTACAGCATGAACCATCTGGATCAAATTATGCTCTATGAAGGAATGAGAAACAAAATAAGCTCTGCTTTTTAGTTAGTTGTAGCTAGCACTTTTTTTTTTTTTTTTTGAGACAGGGTGTCACTCTGTCACCCAGACTGGAGTGCAATGGCACAATTTCAGCAACCGCTGCCTCCCAGGCTCAAGCAATTCTCCTGCCTCAGCCTCCTGAATAGCTGGGACTACAGGCGCAAACCACTACCCTCCAGCTAACTTTTGTATTTTTAGTAGAGACGGTTCCACCATGTTGGCCAGGCTGGTCTCAAACTCCACACCTCAAATGATCCACCGGCCTTGGCCTCCCGAAGTGCTGGGATTACAGGTGTGAGCCACCACTCCCAGCCAAAGTAGCACTTTTTAAACAACAGTATTTAGAAGTAGACTCAAAATGTTAAAAATTCAACACAGAGTTGAATTTTATCCATTCTGGTCATCTAAGTCCATACATTTTCAATTTATCTTTGTTACTAACTTATCATAAACCATCCTAAACATCTCTCCCATATCTAATGATTTAAAAAATAGATGCTCAAGCCAGGTGCGGTGGCTCCCAGCACTGTAATCCAAGCACTTTGGGAGGCTGAAGTGGGAGGATTGCTTGAGCCCAGGAGTTCAAGACCAGCCTGGGCAGCATAGCGAGACTTCGTCTCTAAAAAAAACTAATAAATAATAATGTAAAAAAATAAAAATACAAAAATAGATGCTTAGCTCTCACTCTTAGGAATGGATCAATAAAAGATTTTGCTCTTTGGTCAGCTAAAATGGGAGCTAGGAAAATTCAGAGAATGATGTTCTCAAGATACCAAAAACAAGAAGGGCCACTACTGTCCACCTTTTCAACTCTTGTCTGTAGTTAAACCAATCTGGACATTGGCTGTAGTTAAACCAAATCAACTACCTGCTTATTCGCAGCACTCATCATGTCCTACATTTTGATACAATTATTTTCTTTCATTCTTTAAGAATCTATTCACGTCAGGTCCTGTGCTAAATGTGAGCAGAAAAGTCTCCATCTTGCTTGTATTCCCAGCACTTTGGGAAGCCAAGGAAGGGAGGATGGCTTGAGGCCAGCAGTTCAAAGCCAGCCTGGGAAACACAGCAAGACTCCTTCACTACCAGAAATTTTAAAAAATTAGCCACCCATGGTGGTGCATGCCTATAGTCCTAGCTACTTGAGAGGCTGAGGCAAGAGCATCACTTGAGCCCAGGACTTCAAGGTTACAGTGAGCTATGATTACACCACTGCACTCCATCCTGGGTGACAGAGCAAAACTCTGTCTCAAACAAATCTCCATCTTTGATATGTTCACAGCCTAGAGGACAAAACAGAAACAACCCGTCGATCAACCAGTATTTACCAAGTGCCTACAATTTTGAAATAATTGTATTGCTTTAACAAAGGCAAGTAGGTTCAACTCAAAACTTGTTCATACATATCTCATGTGGCTGTTAAAAGTATGTTGCTCTTGTTTTTCCAACCCGATTAAGCCTATTCCCAAGGCAGGGACTGTCTCCTCTTATAATCTCACAAAGCCAAGCAAAGGACTGGGCACAAAGCAGGGACTCGGCAAGTCTAATGAAAAGGAACTGTTGAGAAAGAATACAAGTTCCTGACTCTTCCCAGTCCCCATCTTGTCAGAAGATGTCTCAACCAACCTTCTCTGATTCAGTATCTCTTGCCATGAAGGGAAAGGAACTCCAGGATGCTGTCTGTCTGGGATCTGTTTTTTCCACCCCACACTCCTATCCTCACCCCACAAAAGAGATCAGTAAACTGACAAGTGGCTATGTAGGGTAAAGAGTCCCCCTCCTTCTTTCCTAGCTGCCCCCCCACCCGGTGCCTAAGACAGCTCACCAACCCCACGGTTTTCCAAATCAAACTGTGTTGTCAGCTATGGGTGACTTTAGGTCAGTCGCCGAAACCTCGCTCTGAGCTTCAGTTTCCTTATCTGTAAAGTGGAGCTAATAATCTCTCTCTCGGAGGCTTGTAGAGAGGAATAAAATAGTGCCTGGAAAGTGCTCGGCAGTCACTACTCGATACAGGGCGTTATCCTTTTGAAAGGCGGCAGGATGACAAAGCCGAGGGGGCGCAGCCTGAAGGCCCGAAGGAGGTTCGGGGCAGGCTGACTGAAGACAGAAGGCCGAGCGAGCTGACAGGGCGGAAGGCCGCGGCGGGAAAGGCGGGAAAGGCGGGAAGCAGCGGAGGCGGGCGGGAAGCAGCGGAGGCAGGCGGGCGGGCGGGCGGGTTGGGCATCAGCTCCGGCGGCGGCAGCCCGCGTCCCCTCACCTCCCTTCTCGCCCACGTCGTTGCCCCCTCACCTCGCTTGATCACATGCATCGCAGCTAGTGGATGAGGCTCTGAAGGATCGGAGACTGGACTGCGGCTCTAAAGCGCCGGCGGGATCAAGAAGGTGACAGAGTAGGAAGGGTTAGGTTGCAGGCGCTGGTCAAGGACAGGAACTGGAGTTGGAGCCAGACAGCACTTTCTCCAGAGCAGAGGCGCAACAATCCAAATCCCCTTCCCGCGCCCGCCACCCGTGACGCACAAAGGGGTGCGACGGGGTTCGAATGACGTTAGTCGACGCTGCGGCCCACGCCTGGGGTAGGCTTCGCAGACTAGTTCAGGCGCCTTGTAGCCGCCATGTTGAGTCTGGGCAAGACACAGAAGACTACGCCTCTCCCATGGGCCCCGTAGGATGTGGACATGCCCGGCGGAAACGCTGCTCTCCTGCCGCCATGTTTTGTGTGGGCAAGCCGAATTTGGACGCCTTGGGGCCCTGGCGTAACACCTAGAGCCTGCCAGGTCAGGCGCCGCCCTTGTCGCTTGCGTGTCTCCGCCGGAGGAAAGGCGGTTCACTTATTTTGTTGCTTTTGAAATAACAAAACCTAACTGGCCGGAACGTTTTTCTTGCTTTGACATTTATTGTAATAATCCTAACACTGCCGTCCGCTGTGGGCTCAAGCCTAGGCTCCACAGCCGTGGGCAGCTTGGAGCCCCAGGGCTTTCAGATCGGCCAGAAGAGTGGCACTCAGGAACTGGAAGAAAACCGCGCAAGGCCAATGGCGTTTGGATTTTATCCTGACGCAAATCAGATCCCTGAGAGAATTTTAAGCAGGGCAGGGTCAGTACACATTTGCTTCTGGGGTTCTTCAGTGGATGGTAGCAGAGAAAGGGTATTTGCCTTGTGGAGGTAGGATGGACTTGGTGACTTAAAGTGGAGAATAAGAATAGATGAGAACCCTAATATGCAAGGCTGGTGTAGAAGCTTCTGATTTGGGCTACCCAAAGCGATCTTTATGAAATTTCATCTGTGGCATCTTTTCCCTAAAGCCTTTTCGTTGGTTTCTCACTACCCTCCAGAAGCTGCCCAAGCTTCCTGTGAAGTAATTTTAAAAATCATGGAAAGTCATAAGTGAGCCTGTAATCGCAGCATCTTGGGAGGCTAAGGCGGGAGTATCATGTGAGACCAGGGGTTGAGATAAGCCTGGGCAACATAGCGAGACCCCCATCTCTACAAAAAATAGAAAAATTAGGACAGCGCGGTGCCTTACTTCTGTAATCCCAGCACTTTGAGAGGCTGAGGTAGGCAGATCACGAGGTCAGGAGTTCGAGACCAGCCTAACCAACATGGTGAAACCCTGTCTCTACTAAAAATACAAAAAGTAGCCAGGCATGGTGGCACGCACCTGTAATCCCAGCTACTCAGGAGGCTGAGGCAGGAGAATCGCTTGAACCCAGGAGGCAGAGGTTGCAGTGAGCCAAGATCACACCATTGCACTCTAGCCTGGGCAAAAGAGCAAGACTCCGTCTCAAAAAAAAAACGAAAAAGAAAAATTAAATAGATGTTTTTTAAAAGTCATAAGTGAAGTTATAGGATAGATAGGGTCAAGTTTACCCAGACATAGGGTTTCCCAATTTAGCAAATAAAACTGTGTCCCAGACACTCCATGAGAGAAAATTATACTTTAAAAACTGTTTATCTGAAGTTCAGATTTAACTGGTCGCCCTGCATGTATCTGGTAACCCTGCCCACAGAGCTTCTGGGTATGTGCATTCAAGTTTCATTTTCCCTGGGCAAAGGAAAGATAGTCTCTTCATCCCGTCATGCCACAGCACAGAGAACACAATGAGAGTCAAAGCCAGCAGGGGTTAAAATCTCCTACATGCTTTATTGGACTTCAAAGAGTCTTATGAAATAACACAGAAAACCCCATTTGAGGGTGTCCAGGGGGTACAAGGCAGTCTGCAACCTAGCACCCTCCTAAGACCAGCCCCAGGTGCACCCACCCTAGGCCCAAAATAGGATCCCAGGATAAAGGCATGGCAGGGAGTGGGGCAGAGGGAAAACACCTTTACAGCCATAGCAAAAACAGGTAAGGGAGAGAGTTGTATAGAGGGTGGGAAGGGTGGGGGGAAGTGGTCACACAGCCACCTTCACCTATACCATCTTCCTTAGCCACCCCTCCCCCAAACTGGTTGTGTCCTTTTTGAGCCTCTGGCCAAGGCTACAAAGTAACATGAAAATGGGATCTAACAAGGGGAATATGCAGCGTAGGCACTTGGGAAATTCAGGAGATTTTTTTCCTTTTAACTTGTTTGTCTTTTGGTTCAAAAATATGACAGCATCCTTGCCCAACAACTCCAGGGCTCCATAAGAGCCTTGTATCATGGCTGTGGCTCCCCGGGCCAGGGGAGCCACTTGTCCTGAGCCCCAGGAGTATTGATGCTTGGGGAGCTTTGGGGCAGCACCTCTTAGAGACAAACCCTCCTGCAGTGTGGGGGAGCAGGGGGAAGAGGGAGGCAGGTGTGGGTGGGAGAAGAGAGAAAAAGTGACTGCCTTATAACCTACAGTTCTGGCATCCACTCATGCTCCAATGAAGAGAGGCCTCTTCCAACCCATCCCCAAGCTCTCTTTAAAAGTCTCTGGTGGGTTGTTCTCTGAGAATTGGTTTCACTCCCCCATGGACTCCTGGAAGCCTGAGTGAGATCTAGGATGAGGTTCCTTCTGACCCACAACAATACCAAAGAACAAATCCCAAAGATTAGGCCCTGGCCCCAGTCTGGAGCAAACAGAACCACTGTGAGTGGGGTGGAACGGATCTGAGGCAAACATGTCAGAAGTTACTCCTCCTATCTTCCCTGTAACTGCTAGGGGAAGCTGGGGAGTGGTGGGAGGGAGGAGCCTGAAAGCAAGAGACAGAAACAAGAAACCAAACCTCAAAACTGGGACAGCAGAGACAGAAGCTGAACCCCAGAGGTGGAGCTGGGAGCTGAGAGAACAGCAACTAAGACATGCACTGAAGTGGAGAGGGAGTGACAGCAGCAGCCCATGGTTGGGAGGGAGGCAGGGCAGGCAGGCCATGGTGGTCAGTTAATAAATAATAATGAAGGACCCAAGGATGTACAGTGCAGGTATATACAGTGCCCAGACCCCTGGACCAGCCCTTCCCATGCCCCACTCTTGGGGCCAGTTATCTTGAAGGGAGGGAGGGAAGGAGAGGCAGAAGACCCAGGGAAGGACAAGCTGTCCCATTACTGCCACCCCCATCCTGCCTACTTCTTAAGAGGCTTCTTAAAGATTTTGAGGGGAAACTTCTTCCGGCCTGGGCTGGAGTCTGTCTCCTCGCCAATAGAGCCATTATCCTCCTCAGCCACAGCCTTCTTGCCAGCCAGGTGGGGAATGCGTGTGTTTCGGCTGGCTTGCAGGGCTCGGCTGTCCCCAACTGGAGATGGCGTGTCTGGGTCTGGGGAACTGGGGCTGTGAGAACGGGAAGAATCCAAATGTGGAGAGCCACCAGGTGGGGCTGAGGGGCTCAGCTCCATTAGGCTGTGGGCCTTGTCCAGCCCATGGTTCAGCGCCAGTAATGCCTTGGCCAGGGCAGGGCTGTCAGGCAGTTTCTCCATCAGAGACCCTGGGTGGACCCCCTCGATCAGCCGGTGGCTGCCATTGGAAGTCATGGCATTGAGAGCCTCGTCTGCGGCACGGCTCATCTGAGGAGGTTTGGGGGCCACACGCTGGCGGTCACTCATGTGGAGGGAGGACTCCGAATCGGAATGGGTCAAATCCCTGCAAGACATGGGGCAGAGAGGAAGAAAGGGACATATATTGGATGGGGTGATGGTGGAAAGGTGAAGAGGAGAAAGGGACAACACAAGAAGACAAGGACAGGGTAGGAAAATGGGGATAGAGCGGCAGGAGAGAGAAATAGGATGAACAGGCAGGTGGGAAGGAAAGAGGAAAGAGGAATAGACAGAAGTTGAGCAGCCGTAAGTATAGGATAAAAGAGGAGGCAGGAGGAGGGAATGAGGATAGATTGGAAAAGAGACAGGGAAAGGAGAGTAGAATTGTAGAGGAAGAAAAGCAAAAGGATAAGCAGGTAGAAAGAAGGGCCAAGAGAGAAAGACAAGAAAGGGAAAAGTGATGGGGAGAGAAGAGAGACAAGAAACAAAAACAAAAAATGCCATCATCTGTCTGGCAAATGGTTTTCCAATACCTGGGCTCCACAACTGGTGAATGCTCTGGCTCTGAACTGGTGCAACCATAGGCTTAAATTCCACAGGTATCCTCCTCAATAAAATCTCTGCCTTCTCATAGCTGGCTAGATTTCCTGGGACTCAATCTTAAGCTAACACAGAACCCACATACTGCTCCGGGTCACCATTTTCCATGCCTTCCTCCCCCACTTACTCCTGTCACACCTGAGGATATTATCCATCTGGGTCAGGCCCCAAGGAACAGGGCACATGCAGTCAGTAGACCTGACCCAGGCTGGGGATGAGAAGGTTAGAACAGCCTTGCAAAAAATCCTTCAGTCACCCCAAAAGGCCAGGATGCTGCCTCTTCTAACCATCTCACAGGATTCAAAGGAGGTCATAGATAGGTATTGCAGAGTTCAAACCAAAGTCTGTGGTGCGGCAGGAAGGGTGGGGTCTCTTACAGACCTCTGCTGACGGAGAACGTAGGGAGGCATAGAAAGACAGGATGTTGGCCTTTAAAGAGCAATGGTTCAGAAGAGTTCTGGACTCTTCTGTGCGATCTTGGACAAGTCATCTAAACTTGCTAGTTCTTAACTTTGGCCCAGTGAAGATAATACCAATTCAATTTATCTTACAAGACTGTTTGGAGGATCAAATATGCTGGCAAAGCACTTGGAAATGTAGAAATTATTGTGGGAATGAAGATGATGAGGCCTGCCAAGCTGAAAGGCCTATGTAAGGGCCGGTCACAAGAGGCTTCTTTGCAAGGCTGAGTTATGGAGACATGCCACCGCACATTGGACATGCACACACACAGGCTAGTCTAGGAACTTGAGACCCTTTAAGGAGCTGGTGGTTCCTAAGCCATGAATCAATTCCAGATGCCACTCCTGCTCTACATACAAAAAGGTAGATATGGAGGTGCTCTCTCTGCCAATCCTGAATCCTCCTTCTGCCTTCCTAGAGGCCTGAGAACTTCAGCAAAAGCAGAGAAGAGAGCTAAGGGAAATGTTTAAACATCTGCTAGCCAAAGGGGAAGAGTCATGAGTGGGAAAGGAGACCACCATAGGACCTAGAAAGAAAGAGGCTGAGGGTCAGAAGTTAGGGAGGGTACCAGGCCCCTGAAACAGGCAAAAGCAGGGGGTTGACTCATAGCTATTGTAGACTTAATTCTCAGTAGGAAGCAAATAACTAAGTAGCCACCCCATGGGCCAGTACCTTCCTGGACTCAGCAGGCAGCAGAGAACAAGTCCAGCTCAGCTTCCATTCTACAAATATTGTTTTAGCCACATATTCTAGTATTTACAAATATTCAGTCTCATATTTGGTTTCATATATCTGACACTGTCCTTGCTTCTAAACTTGTCCTTGTTTCCCTAAGCCCCAAGATGATCCTCTCCATATGTTGCCTTCTCCAAACACTATTATAAACCAAGGAGCAAGGTGCCAAGGAAGTTTTGGGGAGCAATCACACTGAGAAAAGGGGTCCTCTAAGCTGAGGAAGTGAAGATCCTGGGATCCTACCCTCTCTAACACCAAGGAGGAGAAATCAGGAGGTTAGGGCCTTCCCAGCCTCACTTCTCCTGGACCACACCCCTATTTGGTCTTGATTCCTATCCATCTTTTTATTTATTTATTGACAGGGTCTTGCTCTGTCGCCCAGGCTGGAGTGCAATGGCGTGATCTTGGCTCACTGCAGCCTCGACCTACCAGGCTCAAGTGATCCTTCTGCCTGAGCCTCCCGTGT